CACTCCTCATGCACGGACGAGCCCCCGAGCCCGGACCCACGCCCACGGAGAAGGCCCTGGGCCCACCCCTCCTGCGACGGACGAAGCTCCCGAGCCCGGACCCACGCCCACGGAAGAAGGCCCTGAGCCCACCCTCCTGCGACGGACGAAGCCCCCGAGCCCGGACCCACGCCCACGGAAGAAGGCCCTGAGCCCACCCCTCCTGCGACGGACGAAGCCCCCGAGCCCGACCCACGCCACGGAAGAAGGCCCTGAGCCCACCCTCCTGCGACGGACGAAGCCCCGAGCCCGGACTCCACGCCCACGGAAGAAGGCCCTGAGCCCACTCCTCCTGCGACGGACGAAGCCCCGAGCCCGGACTCCACGCCCACGGAAGAAGGCCCTGAGCCCACCCCTCCTGCGACGGACGAAGCCCCCGAGCCCGGACCCACGCCCACGGAAGAAGGCCCTGAGCCCACCCCTCCTGCGACGGACGAAGCCCCCGAGCCCGGACCCACGCCCACGGAAGAAGGCCCTGAGCCCACCCCTCCTGCGACGGACGAAGCCCCCGAGCCCGGACCCACGCCCACGGAAGAAGGCCCTGAGCCCACTCCTCCTGCGACGGACGAAGCCTCTGAGCCCGGACCCACGCCCACGGAAGAAGGCCCTGAGCCCACCCTCCTGCGACGGACGAAGCCCTCGAGCCCGGACCCACGCCCACGGAAGAAGGCCCTGAGCCCACCCCTCCTGCGACGGACGAAGCCCCGAGCCCGGACCCACGCCCACGGAAGAAGGCCCTGAGCCCACCCCTCCTGCGACGGACGAAGCCCCCGAGCCCGGACCCACGCCCACGGAAGAAGGCCCTGAGCCCACCCCTCCTGCGACGGACTAAGCCCCCGAGCCCGGACCCACGCCCACGGAAGAAGGCCCTGAGCCCACCCCTCCTCCGACGGACGAAGCCCCCGAGCCCAGACCCACGCCCACGGAAGAAGGCCCTGAGCCCACCCCTCCTCCGACGGACGAAGCCCCCGAGCCCAGACCTACGCCCACGGAAGAACCGACTGAGCCCACCCCTCCTCCGACGGACGAAGCCCCCGAGCCCCGACCTACGCCGACAGAAGAACCGACTGAGCCCAACACTCCTCCGACGGGTGAACCCACCGAGCCCCGACCTACACCCACAGAAGAACCGACTGAGCCCAACACTCCTCCAACTGAGGAACCCACGGAGCCCAACACTCCACCCACACAAGAACCCACGGAGCCCAACACTCAACCCACTGAGGAACCCACGGAGCCCAACACTCCACCCACAGAAGAACCCACTGAGCCCAACACTCCTCCCACTGAGGAACCCACGGAGCCCAACACTCCACCCACAGAAGGACCCACGGAGTCCAACACTCCACCCACAGAAGGACCCACGGATCCCAACAGTCCACCCACACAAGAATCCCACGGAGCCCAACACTCCACCCACAGAACAACCCACGGAGCCCAACACTTCTCCCACTGAGGAACCCACAGAGCCCAACACTCCACCCACAGAAGAACCCACGGAGCCCAACACTCCACCCACACAAGAACCCACTGAGTCCAACACTCCTCCCACTGAGGAACCCACGGAGCCCAACACTCCACCCACACAAGAACCCACTGAGTCCAACACTCCTCCCACTGAGGAACCCACGGAGCCCAACACTCCACCCACAGAAGAACCCACGGAGCCCAACACTCCTCCAACTGAGGAACCCACGGAGCCCAACACTCCACCCACACAAGAACCCATGGAGCCCAACACTCCACCCACAGAAGAACCCACGGAGCCCAACACTCCACCCACAGAAGAACCCACGGAGCCCAACACTCCACCCACTGAGGAACCCACGGAGCCCAACACTCCACCCACAGAAGAACCCACGAGCCCAACACTCCACCCACACAAGAACCCACGGAACCCAACACTCCTCCAACTGAGGAACCCACGGAGCCCAACACTCCTCCAACTGATGAACCCACTGAGCCCAACACTCCACCCACAGAAGAACCCACGGAGCCCAACACTCCTCACTGAGGAACCCACGGGCCCAACACTCCACCCACAGAAGAACCCACGGAGCCCAACACTCCACCCACAGAAGAACCCACGGAGCCCAACACTCCTCCCACAGAAGAACCCACGGAACCCAACACTCCACCCACAGAAGAACCCACGGGCCCAACACTCCACCCACAGAAGAACCCACGGAGCCCAACACTCCACCCACAGAAGAACCCACGGAGCCCAACACTCCACCCACAGAAGAACCCACGGAACCCAGCACTCCACCCACAGAAGAACCCACGGAGCCCAACACTCCTCCAACTGAGGAACCCACGGAGCCCAACACTCCACCCACAGAAGAACCCACGGAGCCCAACACTCCACCCACAGAAGAACCCACGGAGCCCAACACTCCACCCACAGAAGAACCCACGGAGCCCAACACTCCTCCAACTGAGGAACCCACGGAGCCCAACACTCCACCCACAGAAGAACCCACGGAGCCCAACACTCCTCCAACTGAGGAACCCACGGAGCCCAACACTCCACCCACAGAAGAACCCACGGAGCCCAACACTCCACCCACAGAAGAACCCACGGAGCCCAACACTCCACCCACAGAAGAACCCACGGAGCCCAACACTCCTCCACACTAGAGGAACCCACAGACCCAACACTCCACCCACAGAAGAACCCACGGAGCCCAACACTCCACCCACAGAAGAACCCACTGGAACCCAGCACTCCACCCACAGAAGAACCCACGGAGCCCAACACTCCTCCAACTGAGAGAACCCCACGGAGCCCAACACTCCACCCACAGAAGAACCCACGGGGCCCAACCTCCTCCAACTGAGGAACCCACGGAGCCCAACACTCCACCCACAGAAGAACCCACGGAGCCCAACACTCCACCCACAGAAGAACCCACGGAGCCCAACACTCCACCCACAGAAGAACCCACGGAGCCCAACACTCCTCCAACTGAGGAACCCACGGAGCCCAACACTCCACCCACACAAGAACCCACTGAGCCCAACACTCCACCCACAGAAGAACCCACGGAGCCCAACACTCCACCCACAGAAGAACCCACGGAGCCCAACACTCCACCCACAGAAGAACCCACGGAGCCCAACACTCCTCCAACTGAGGAACCCACGGAGCCCAACACTCCACCCACAGAAGAACCCACGGGCCCAACACTCCACCCACAGAAGAACCCACGGAGCCCAACACTCCACCCACTGAGGAACCCACGGAGCCCAACACTCCACCCACTGAGGAACCCACGGAGCCCAACACTCCTCCAACTGAGGAACCCACGGAACCCAACACTCCACCAACTGAGGAACCCACGGGGCCCAACACTCCATCCACAGAAGAACCCACGGAGCCCAACACTCCACCCACAGAAGAACCCACGGAGCCTAACACTCCTCCAACTGAGGGACCCACGGAACCCAACACTCCACCCACAGAAGAACCCACGGAGCCCAACACTCCACCCACAGAAGAACCCACGGAGCCCAACACTCCTCCAACTGAGGAACCCACGGAACCCAACACTCCACCAACTGAGGAACCCACGGAACCCAACACTCCACCCACAGAAGAACCCACGGAACCCAACACTCCACCCACAGAAGAACCCACGGGCCCAACCTCCTCCAACTAGAAGAACCCACGGAGCCCAACACTCCACCCACAGAAGGACCCACGGATCCCAACACTCCTCCAACTGAGGAACCCACGGAACCCAACACTCCACCCACAGAAGAACCCACGGAGCCCAACACTCCACCCACAGAAGAACCCACGGAGCCCAACACTCCACCCACAGAAGGACCCACGGATCCCAACACTCCTCCAACTGAGGAACCCACGGAACCCAACACTCCACCAACTGAGGAACCCACTGAGCCCAACACTCCATCCACAGAAGAACCCACGGAGCCCAACATTCCTCCAACTGAGGAACCCACGGAGCCCAACACTCCTCCAACTGAGGAACCCACGGAGCCCAACAGTCCACCCACAGAAGAACCCACGGAGCCCAACACTCCACCCACAGAAGAACCCCCTGAGCCCAACACTCCACCCACAGAAGAACCCACGGAGCCCAACACTCCACCCACAGAAGAACCCACGGAGCCCAACACTCCACCCACAGAAGAACCCACGGAGCCCAACACTCTACCCACTGAGGAACCCACGGAGCCCAACACTCCACCAACTGAGGAACCCACTGAGCCCAACACTCCACCCACAGAAGTACCCCCTGAGCCCAACACTCCACCCACAGAAGAACCCACGGAACCCAACACTCCACCCACAGAAGAACCCACGGAGCCCAACACTCCACCCACTGAGGAACCCACGGAGCCCAACACTCCTCCAACTGAGGAACCCACGGAGCCCAACACTCCTCCAACTGAGGAACCCACGGAGCCCAACACTCCTCCCACAGAAGAACCCACGGAGCCCAACACTCCTCCAACTGAGGAACCCACGGAGCCCAACACTCCTCCAACTGAGAACACAGACCCAACACTCCACCCACAGAAGAACCCACGGGCCCAACACTCCTCCAACTGAGGAACCCACGGAGCCCAACAGTCCACCCACAGAAGAACCCACGGAGCCCAACACTCCACCCACAGAAGAACCCACTGAGCCCAACACTCCTCCCACAGAAGGACCCACGGAGCCCAACAGTCCACCCACAGAAGAACCCACGGAGCCCAACACTCCTCCTACAGAGGGATCCAGCACCACCACTCGTGGCCCCACCACCACTGCAGGTATCTCCCACCTCGCCTCCCTCTCTTCCCTGCCTTCCCTCTTTTTCCCATGTCCGGGAGTCTTCCTGCTCCTTTCCCACCAACCTCCCCTTCCGCAGGGTCCTGCCTGAACAACGGCACGTGGGTGGACGGGCAGTGCCAGTGCCTGCCCGGCTTCTTTGGGACGCGGTGCCAGGACGTCGTGGACACCATCGAGACCACGCCCAGTAGGAATTCCGGGCTGGGGTTTTTTTTTGGTGGGGGGATGTTTTGGGCACTGGGATGTTCTCCCACTGGTGGGGGAGCAGGAGGAGCTGGGGAGGGTCCTCCACGGGTGGGGGAGGGTGGAGTGTGGCCGTGTCCGGGAGAACCACGGGATTCAAAAATCTGGGAAGAGGGAATGGTTCCTGAGGGTTCTACTCGCGGAGGGGGAGGCAGGTGTAGGATCCACCTGGGTTTCACAACTTGGGACTCTGGGAGATGGGAAGTGGCCCAGCCCATCCTGGGATCACCCAGAGGAGCCGGGTACCATCCCAGGTCCATCCCATCTCCTCCATGTGCTGGTCCATCCCATCTCCTCCACATCCTGGTCCATCCCATCTCCTCCACATCCCAGTCTATCCCATGTCCTCCACATCCCTGTCCATCCCATGTCCTCCACGTCCTTGTCCATCCCATCTCCTCCACATCCTGATCTATCCCATGTCCTCCATGTCCTGGTCCATCCCATCTCCTCCACGCCCATCCCATCTCCTCCACCTCCTGGTCCTTTCCCTTCTCGACAGAGACCAACGGGACGGTGCCGGTGGAGCTCCACGTCACCAACCGCGATTTCACCGAGGAGCTCAGGGACAGCTCCTCCCCTGCCTACCAGGAGTTCGTCAAGAACTTCACTGAGCAGGTAGAGGACCCCCCCCCGGGCTCAGGATCTCCTGGTCAGAGCAGCCGGATCCATCCCACGGGAGGTCCTTCGGGGTCTCCTCTGGCTCCACCAGGATGGGTTTGTTCGAAGGGTGGGGGTGGAGGGTGGGGGTGACACCTCCAAAGAGGGATGTCCAGGAGGCGGGAAGGAGGAAGAGGTCCCCTCCCAAGATCCCCCCCGGAGACCTCCTCTCTTCCAGATGGACAGGGTCTACAAGGACATCGAGGGCTACCAGGGCATCGAGGTGCAGGAGCTCCTGTGAGTGCGGGGCGGGGCAGTGGGAGGGGCAATGGGGTGGGGCAATGGGGGCGGGGCAGCAGGGGCAGGGCAGTGGGGTGGGGCAATGAGGGCAGGGCAGTGGGGGTGGGGCAATGGGGTGGGGCAATGGGGCAGGGCAGCAGGGGAGGGGCAGCAGGGGGAGGCAACAGGGAGGGCAACGGGGTCATCCCTCTGGGGAGGGAAAAAGAGGGTTTTGGAACCAGGCTCTGGCTTTCACCCCCTCCCTCCCCAAAACAAGCGCCGGCAGGGGGGGGGTCATGGGGGTCGTGGGGGTCATTGGGAAAAAGGGGTGTTTTGAACCTGGCTCTTCCTTCCCCCCCCCTCCCCCCAAGCAATGGCAGCGTGCTGGTCCGTCACACCATCATCGTGGCCCTGCTGGTGACCACCCAGAGCCAGGAGAAGCTGCACAACATCACGGTCAACGTGCAGGAGAAGATCAAGGAGGGGGTCACGCAGTTCAACTGCACCGACGGTACCTGCGGGTTTAGGGGGGAGGGGGGACAGGACACCCTTGGGGCACCTTCCCAACCTCCCCCCCGACCCGGGACTGCCCCTGGAGGGGGATTTGGGGAGTGACCCCCCCCCCCCAACACACCCTGATTTACCCTCTGCTCCAGACATCCTGTGCTTTGACTCCTCCCAAGTCACGGTCTCGGAAGGTCAACTCCAATTCGACAAGGAAGGTGAGCAGGGGGTCCCTCTGGGAGGGGTCCACCCCGGTTTTGGGGTCTCCAGGGTCCCCTCCCCCCTCCCCAGCTGAGCTGTGTCCCTCTCTGCAGCCTATTGCCAGAGCCAGGCGCCTCAGGGGTACCAGGAGTTCTTCTTCCCCAACCTGACGAGCTCGGGGGTGTCCTGCATGTCCAACTGCACGCCGGGCACCGCCAGCACCATCGACTGCCACCGCGGCAGGTGCCAGCTCACCAGGACAGGCCCCCAGTGCTTGTAAGGGCTCCAGGGGACCCCTCCCTCCTCCCCTAAAGGTGTCCCGGGGGGAGAAATACAGCCCTTCTGGGGGGTCTCTGTGGTTCTTAAAACCCCTCGGGGTTGGAGGGGGGTCTTGGGGATGATCCAGCCCTTCTGGTGGATCTCCATGGTCATCTCCTGGGCTAAAACCCCCTGGTCTGGAGGAGGATCTTGGTCCTCATGGATCCACCCCTTCTAGGGGGGGTCTCCATGGTCCTTCCAAGGGCTAAAAACCCCTCAGGGTTTGGAGGGGGGTCTTGGGGATGATCCAGCCCTTCTGGGGGGTCTCCATGGTCACCTCCTGGGCTGAAAACCCCTCGGGGTTGGAGGAAGATCGTGGACCACACGGATCCACCCCCCTGGTGGCTCTCCACGACCCCCAAACCCCCCCGGGGTTCCAGCAGGATCTTTCTCCCAAAGACGCTGCACGGTCGGGTTGTGGGGGGAGCGGGGAGGGGTTGGTGGTTTCTTCTGGTGGTCCCAGCTTGGGGTTCACCCCCCTGTCCCCCCCCTCCCCAGCTGTGAGGACACCAACCTGTACTGGTACCAGGACAGCCGCTGCAGGTCGAGGGTCAGCAAGCTGGGCGTGGGCCTGGGCGTGGCCGTGGCCGTCCTGGCCGTCACCGTGGTCGTCCTGGCCGTCCTCCTGGCCCTGGCACGGAGGTCCCGCCGGTCCCAGGGGTAAGGGGGGGACGGGGGAGAGAAACTGGGGGGGGTCTGACCCCTGGGTGTCCCCCCTGGGGTGGTTCCTGGGTGAGCTCCTTGGGGCAGACTGGGAGGGACTGGGCAGGGATTTGGAGGGACTGGGAGGGGACTGGGATCTACTGGGGTGGACTGGGAGGGGATTGGGATATACTGGGATGGACTGGGGTATAGTGGGATATACTGGGATCTCCTGGGATGGACTGGGGGGAGATTGGGATGTACAGGGATGCACTACGGTATAGTGAGATGTACCAGGAGGGAACTGGGATATACTGGGATGGACTGGGATATACTGGGAGAGTGGGAAGGACCAGGAGCAGAGTGGGAGGGTCCTTCTTGGGAGGGGGGAGAGGAGGAACTTGTGAGGGGGGGTTCCAGGCAGGGATGGTGACCCCCTGAGACCCCTCCCACCCCCACTTTAACCTCCCCTCCGTGTCCCTCAGGCAGCAACCGGTGATGGAGCAGTGGTACCAGGACAGCAGCGAGGAGTGGGACCGCCCGGGCAGCTTCGCCTTCCGCAACCAAGGTTGGGGGGTCTGTGGGGCTGTGGGGTGTCTCTGGTGACCCCCTGGGTGGGGGCATGGATTTGTGCCCACCCTGACCCCCCTCCTCCTCCCCATCCCCTGTGTCCCACAGGAGCTCAGCTGGAGGACGACCGTGATGTGTTGGACTTGTGGGCGCCGGTGAGTGCGGGGGGGGTGTTTGGGGGGTGGGGAGGGGTGGGGAGGGGTGGGGACAACCCCCTCCCTCCCCCAAATCTTCCCCCGGTGGGGTCGTTCCCTCCGGGGCTGACACGTCCCCGGCAGATGCGGATCCCGAGGCCGAGGGAGATCGTCACGGAGTTCTGAGGCAACGGGGAGGGGATTCCCGCCACGGGGCTGTCGTCATCGTCATCGTCATCATCATCATCATCATCATCATCATCATCATCATCGTCATCGTCATCGTCATCGTCATCGTCATCATCATCAGCATCGTCATCATCATCATCATCGTCATCGTCATCGTCATCGTCATCGTCATCGTCATCGTCATCGTCATCGTCATCGTCATCGTCATCGTCATCGTCATCGTCATCGTCATCGTCATCATCATCGTCATCGCCATCATGAATGTCGTGATAACACCATCATTGTCGTCATCCTCATGGTCACCATCGTTATCATCACCAAAGTCATCGTCCTCCTCACCCCTCCCCCACCATTTTGGGTGGGTTAGTGACCCCATTTTTAGGGTCAGGTTCCCCACTTTTAGGATGGTGACCCCAATTTAGGGTGGTGACCCCAATTTGGGGGGGTGACCCCAATTTAGGGTGGTCACCTCCCACCCAACAGCACTTTCGGGCCATCACCCCTCTCCAAGGTCATCCCCTCCCCCTCCCCCAAATTCAAGGGTGAGACCCCCCCCTCACCCCTCAAACCACGGGGCTGGACCCCCAAACTGTCCCCAATAAAGTCCTTCCAAAGACTCCTGGAGCTACTGGTTTGTACTGGGACCACCCAAGTGTCGACCTGGGGAGGGGGACAAACCGCCATGGGGGTCGTGGGGTCACGGCCTCTCTCTGTTGCCTTGACGACAGCGCCCGGTCCCTCCGCCGGACTCCTCATGTTGCCATAACAACAGGCCACACCCCTCCCGTCGCCTTGGCAACCGGCCGCTCCCTTGGCGACAGGCCACGCCCCCTTCTACTGGGAACCCCTCTCTGCGTCCTCGGTGATTGGACGCTCACTCTCCTGTTGCCGTGACAACAGACCACACCCCTCCGTTGCCATGGTAACAGCCCACTCTCCGCCCGTGTCCATAGCGACAGACCACGCCCCCTTCCCGGAAGTCCCTCTCCATTGCCCTGAGGACAAACCACACCCCCTGCGGTTGCCTTGACGACAAGCCCCGCCCCCAAGCCCTCAGCCCTGCCCAAACCGGAAGCGGCGCACCGTGCGCGGTGACGTCACACCAGAAGCGGCGGCCCCGGCGCGGCGCTGCCGGAGCGGCCCCGTCCGGCCCCCGGACCCCGGGACCCTCCGGGACTCCCCCGATCCCCGGGACCCCCGGCCGCGGCTCCGGCCGAGGCCGCGCCCCGGGACACGGCGCTATGGTGAGTTTGGGGGGGAATCGGGGAGAGTCACGTGACGGGAGGTCACGTGGTGCGCGGGGGTCGTGATCCGCGGTGTGACCTTTGACCTCTGACCCCGGAGCATGCGGGTCCAGCTGCTGTTCAACCGCCAGGGGAAACTGAGGCTGCACAAGGGGTACCTGAACCCCCCACTCCGTGACCCCAAACTGCCCCCAAATACCCCCAAATCCCCCCAAAGTGCCCCCAAATCCCCCAAACTGCCCTCAAATACCCCACAAATCGCCCCAAACTGCCCACAAACTCCCCCAAAGTGCCCCCAAATCCCCCCAAACTGCCCCCAAATCCCCCAAACTCCCCCAAATCCCCCAAACTGCCCCCAAATCCCCCAATGTGTCGCTCCCAAATCCCCACAAATCCTCTGCCCCAAATCCCCCAAACTGCCCCCAAATGCCCCCCAAACTGCCCCCAAACTGCTAAATCCCCCAAATCCTCCCCAAATCCCCTCAAACTCCCGAACTGCCCCCAAATCCCCCAATTGACCCCCGATGTGGCACAGATGCAGTTCCAGCTGCTGTTCAGCTGCCAAGGGGAAGCTGAGGTTGCACAAGGGGTACCTGAACCCCCACTCTGTGACCCCAAATCCCTAAACCGCCCCCAAAGCCTCAAACTCCCCAAACTGCCCCAAATCCCCACAAACTTCTCCCAAATCCTCCAACCCCTAAACCCTCTCAAACCCCCCCAATTTCCCCCCACCCCCAGATGCGGTTCCAGCTGCTGTTCAGCCGCCAAGGGAAGCTGAGGCTGCAGAAGTGGTACCAGAACCCCCAAACTGCCCCAAATCCCCCAAACTTCTCCCAAACCCTCTCAAATTCCCCAAATCCCCCAAACTGCCCCCCCAACCCCCCAATTTCCCCCCAGATGCGGTTCATGCTGCTGTTCAGCCGCCAAGGAAGCTGAGGCTGCAGAAGTGGTACCAGAACCCCCACTCTGTGACCCCAAATCCCCTAAACTGCCCCCAAATGCCCCCAAACTTCTCCCAAACCCTCTCAAATTCCCCAATTCCCCCAAATCCCCCCAACTGCTCCCCAAACCCCCAATTTTCCCCAGATGTGGTTCAGCTGCTGTTCAGCCACCAAGGGAAACTGAGGCTGCAGAAGTGGTACCAGAACCCCCACTCTGTGACCCCAAACTGCCCCCAAATCCCCTAAACCCCCAAATCCCCTAAAGTGCCCCCAAATCCCCCCAAACTCCCTCCAACCCCGGACTGCCCCCAAAACCCCCAAACTTCTCCTCCCAAATGCTCCCAACCCTCTCAACTCCCCAATTTCCCCCAGATGCGGTTCATGCTGCTGTTCAGCCGCCAGGGAAGCTGAGGCTGCAGAAGTGGTACCAGAACCCCAAACTGCCCCTAAATCCCCCAAACCCCCCCAATTTTCCCCAGATGCGGTTCATGCTGCTGTTCAGCCGCCAGGGGAAGCTGAGGCTGCAGAAGTGGTACCTGGCCACGGCTGACAAGGACAAGAAGAAGATGGTGCGGGAGCTCATGCAGGTGGTGCTGGCCCGGAAACCCAAAATGTGCAGCTTCCTCGAGTGGAGGGACCTCAAGGTGGTCTACAAGAGGTGAAGCCCCCTCTGCCCTGCAAAAAAAAAAAAAAATGGTGATTTAAAAAAAAAAAAACCACGTGCGCTTTTTACATCAAAAAAGTGATAAAAAAAAAAACAAAAAAGGGTTTTTATCTCCCCCAAAAATGAGTTTGTTTGAAGAGGATGCGGCTTGCAGAGGAGAGAAGAGGATTGGCAATCAGAAAAAGAGGGGTTTTCCAAAAAAAAACCAAAAAAAAAAAAAGGTCTTTGCCTCAAAAAAATTTAAAAAAAAAAAAAGCAGATTTCCCATTAAAAAAAAAAAAAGGAGATTTTGCATTCAAAAAAGTGTATTTGCCCCCCCCTAAAAAAAACAGATTTCCCGGCAAAAAAGGAGCTTTTCCACTAAAAAAGGAGGTTCCCCACCAGAAAAGCGGATTTTCCACAAAAAGAAAAAAAAAAGCATTTTCCATAAAAAAGTGGGTTTTCCACCAAAAAAAGAGGCTTTCCCACAAAAAAAAGCTTATTTTTCCCCCAAAAACCCCCACCTTTCCAAAATCCACCTTTCCCACCCAAAATTCACCTGTTCCACCTAAAGTTCCAACACTTCCCTTGAGAAAATCCACTTTCTTCCCCCAAATCCACCTTTTCGACCTAAAAACCCACCCTTTTCCCTAAAAATTCACCTTTTCCACCGAAAGATCCACCTTTTTCCAAAAAAAAAAAACCCTTTTCCCTAAAATTCCACCTTCTGCCCAAAATATCCACCTTTTTCCTCCCCCCAGAAAACACCGTTTCTCCCCCCCAAAAAGCCCGCTTTTTTTCCCTGAAAATCCGCCTTTTCCACCCAAAATTCCACCTTCTCCCCCCTGCCCCGCAAAAAAAAAAAATCCCCCTTTTCTTCCCAAAAATCCATCTTCTCCCACCTCAAAATTCCACCTTCTCTCCCCCCAAAAAAATCCCCTCCCAATTTTGGGCCCCCCCCAGGTCCGCTTTGACCCCTCCCGAGACCCCAGGTTGGGTTGGCCACGGTGGGCGCAACCCCCTCACCTTTGGGGGGTCCTGGTGGACACCCCCCCATCCCCTGGCGGGTTTTGGGGGGTCCAGGAGCCCCCCCAGCCCGGATTTGGCCCCCCCAGGTACGCCAGCCTGTACTTCTGCTGCGCCATCGAGGGCCAGGACAACGAGCTGATCACCCTGGAGCTGATCCACCGCTACGTCGAGCTGCTCGACAAGTACTTCGGCAGCGTGAGTGGGGGGCACCAGGGGCACCAACAACACCCCCAGGGACACCCCCAGGGCACCAGGGACACCCCAGGGGCACCAGGGACACCCCCAGGGCACCAGGGACATCCCCAGGGCACCAGGGGCACCCCAGGGCACCAGGGACACCCCAGGGACACCCCAGGGGACCAGGGACATCTCAGGGACACCCCCAAGGGACATCTCAGGGACACCCCAGGACTCCAGGGACATCTCAGGGGTACCCCAGGGCACCAGGGACATCTCAGGGACACCTCAGGGACACCCCAGGGACACCCCAGGGGCACCAGGGACATCCCAGGGGCACCAGGGACACCCCCAGGGCACCAGGGACATCTCAGGGACACCCCCAGGGCACCAGGGACACCCCAGGGACACCAGGGACATCTCAGGGACACCCCAGGGGCACCCCAGGGCACCAGGGACACCCCAGGGACACCCCAGGGGACCAGGGACACCCCCGGGACTCCAGGGACATCTCCAGGGACACCCCCAGGGACACCCCCAGGCACCAGGGACATCTCAGGGATACCCCAGGGCACCAGGGACATCTCAGGGGCACCCCAGGGACACCTCCAGGGACACCCCCAGGGCACCAGGGACACCCCAGGGACACCCCCAGGGACCAGGGACATCTCAGGGACATCTCAGGGACACCCCAGGGGCACCCCAGGGACACCCCCAGGGACACCAGGGACATCTCAGGGACACCCCCAGGGCACCAGGGACACCCCCAGGGCACCAGGGACACCCCAGGGCACCAGGGACACCTCCAGGGTTACCAGGGACATCTCAGGGGCACCCCCAGGGCACCAGGGACATCTCAGGGGCACCCCAGGGACACCCCAGGGCACCAGGGACACCCCCAGGGACACCCCAGGGACACCCCCAGGGGCACCAGGGACACCTCAGGGACACCCCCAGGGCACCAGGGGCACCCCCAGGGCACCAGGGACATCTCAGGGACACCCCAGGGGCACCCCAGGGCACCAGGAACATCTCAGGGACACCCCCAGGGCACCAGGGACATCTCAGGGACACCCCAGGGGTACCCCAGGGGACAAGGGACATCTCAGGGACACCCCCAGGGACACCCCCAGGGCACCAGGGACATCTCAGGGACACCCCCAGGGGCACCAGGGACACCTCCAGGGCACCAGGGACATCTCAGGGGCACCCCAGGGCACCAGGGACACCCCCGGGGACACCCCAAGTGCCACCAGGAGCCTCCCAGCTCCTCCCCCTGAACTGGGGGGGTTCTCTTGGGCAGGTGTGTGAGCTGGACATCATCTTCAACTTCGAGAAGGCCTACTTCATCCTGGACGAGTTCGTGATGGGGGGCGAGATCCAGGACACCTCCAAGAAGAGCGTCCTCAAGGCCATCGAGCAGGCAGACCTGCTGCAGGAGGTGGGGGGGACAAATCCGGGGGGAGGGGGGAAAGTGGGGACCACCAGAGTGGTGAGGGACCACCCATGGGTCAGGGGGACCACCCACAGGGGTGTGGGGACCACCAGAGTGGTGAGGGACCACCCGTGGGTCAGGGGGACCACCCATGGGTCAGGGGGACCACCAGAGTGGTGAGGGACCACCTGTGGGTCAGGGGGACCACCAGAGTGGTGAGGGACCACCCACAGGGGTGTGGGGACCACCAGAGTGATGAGGGACCACCCATGGGTCAGGGGGACCACCAGAGTCATTGTGGGACCACCAGAGTGGTGAGGGACCACACGTGGGTCAGGGGGACCACCCGTGGGTCAGGGGGACCACCAGAGTGGTGAGGGACCACCCATGGGTCAGGGGGACCACCCGTGGGTCAGGGGGACCACCCGTGGGTCAGGGGGACCACCAGAGTCATTGTGGGACCACCAGGAGGGTTGTGGGGACCAGCAGGGTCATGATGGACCTTATGGGACACCTGGGGGTTGGGGGGACCACCAGAGCCACCCCCAGACTGTGCCGTGGACCCCCCCCCGGCCCCCCCTTTTTGCTGCAGCGGGTGGGGGGTGGGGGATAGGGGGGGTCACTGCGGCTGCTGCAGGGAAATGAGTCACCAGTGCTGCAGTGACGGCTCTGACCCCCCCCGGGGACCCCCCCAGCGTGTGACACCCCCCCATGTCCCCATGTGACACCCCGTGTGCCCCAGCATGTGACACCCCCATGTCCCCACATGTCCCCCATGTCCCCTCAACATGTGACACCCCCATGTCCCCACGTGACACCCCCCGTGTGCCCCCAGCATGTGACACCCCCATGTCCCCACGTGTGACACCCCAGTGTCCCCCCACGTGTCTTTTGGGGGTGTCACTCCTTTTTGGAGGGGGCTGGTGGGGGGATAAAGGGGTGACCCTCCAGTGTCTCTTTGGGGGTTACCCCTAACCCCCCGAGCCCCCTGTGTCACTTTAGGGGGGAAGAAGGTCACCCCTTTTGGGGGTGTCTCCCCTTACCCCTAGGGACCCCTTTGCCTTTTTTGGGGGTGGGGAGGTGTCACCCTTTATGCCCCCCAAACCCTGACCCCCTTCCTTTCCCCCAGGAGGACGAATCCCCCCGGAGTGTCCTGGAGGAAATGGGGCTGGCATAGCTCCCCAAATTTTGGGAGGAGAAGGGAGGCTGGGGGGGGTTGGGACCCCCCCAAAAATTTTAGGGGGTGTCCCAACCCCACCCCCTGGAACCACAAGGGACCAACCCCTTCCCCCCCCCAGAGAAGACCACCAGGAGATGGGGGGGGTGGGACACGCCCCCCCCAAATGACCCCCCCACTGTAAATATATATATAGCTGGGGGCCCAATTTATTGGGGGTGGGTCCCCAATTTAAGGGGGGGTCCCCAATATTTTGGTAGGGGGGGTGCCCCTGTGCCCTTCCCTTCACCTCTGTTTTGGGGAGGGGGTCACAAGTGGGTACCCCCCCAAAACTGGGCACAGACCCTCAGCTGCCTTTTTTTTTGGAGGGGGGGGTTGTCACAGCTCTGGGGAGGGTCCCCCTCCTTTTTATGACCCCCCCCCCTCATTAAGGGACCACCAAACACCCTCCCCCAAATTTGGAATAAAACCTGTGGAGACTCAGCTTGTGCTCAGTGATTTGGGGGGACTGATTTGGGGGATTTTCCCTCGGGGGTGGTTTTTTACCCCCGGGGGGGGTCATTTACCCCTGGGAGGGGTTAATTTGCCCCGGGGTGGGGGGGGACAGGAGGGCAGCCCCCTCCGCCCCCCAAAATAACGAGAGTAACTCGTACTAAAATAGTCGCTTTTATTCGATAGCAAAATTAGTGATTGGGGGGTTATTTACACCCAACCCCCCCGCGGGGGGCACTGGGAGGGACTGGGGGGCACTGGGAGGGAACTGGAGCTGGGAGGGGAGGGGGTTGAAGCTGGGACTGGGGGAACTGGGAGGGTTCTGGAGCTGGAACTGGGAGAACTGGGCGGGGGGGCTCTGAGGGTGGGAAGAACAACCATGAGACTCGGGGTTTGGGGGGGACTCTACAGGCGAAACTGGGACGAACTGGGACGAACCAGGAGGACCAAACTGGTGGCCACGAGTCAGGACTGGGACTGGGGGGGCGAACATACGAGCAGGCTGGGAGGGGCGGGGGTGTCCCGGATTTGGGGTGGGGGTGTTGGGGTCACGGATACCCCCGCGGGGGGGTCCCAAAACCCTCTCCAGGTAATTCTGCAGCTCCCGATCCCTCAGGGGCGGGGGGCACCGGGGCGGGGGCGGCACGAAAGTCCTTCCCGGCAGCTGGTGGAGGGCGGGGGGCGGCTGCGGGGCCGGGGCGGCGCCGGGGGGGGCCGGATCAGCCTCGGGGGGGCCCCCACGGCCGCCTCCTCCTTCCTCTTCTGCTCCACGTCGTGGATGATGTCCACCACGTCGTCGGCGGGCAGGTGGAGCCTGCTGGACAGCTCGATCAGCTGGTCGATGGTCCCGGGGTCCAGGTCGTCCACCTCGGCCGGGTCCTGGGGGGAGGGGGTCTCGCTGGAGACCCCCCCGAGCTCGCTGGAGCTCCCCGGCAGCTCGTTGGGGACCCGGCTGCCCCACGGAGGCACCACCCGGTCGCCCCTCGGCAGCGGGAGGATCTCGTTGTCCTCCGAGCCCCCGTTGCCCTCCGGGTCGTCCTCGTAGCCCCCCCTGGCCTTGAAGTCCCCGTTGCCCTCCAGGTCGCCGTCGTAGCCCCCCCGGACCTTGAAGCCCCCGTTGCCCCCGAAGTCGTCGCCGCCCTTGACCTTGAAGCGCCGGTTGACCTTGAAGACCTCGTTGGCCCCAAAGTCGTCGTTGCTGGGGTCAAACCCCCTGTCCTTGGCCTTGTAGCTGCCCTTGAAGCCCCCGTTGCCCAAGAAGTCCCCGTTGTCCTCCAGGTCATCGCTGAGCTCAAACCCGTTGCCCTTGAAGCCCCCGTTGCCCTTGAAGCCCCCGTTGCCCTTGAAGTCGCCCTCCAGGCCGAACCCGCCGTCGACGCCGAACCCGCCGTCGTCTTCGTCGCCGCCGTCCAACCCGTTGGCCTCCAGCCCTTCGTCGCTGCCTCCTTCCTCTTCCTCACCCTCCTCCTCCTCCGAGCGCTTGTCCTCGGCCACGGCGGCGGCGCCGGGGCCCCTCAGGAGGTAGCGGAGCAGGAGGTCGGAGGCCAGGTCCGCCAGGCGCTCCTCCTCGGCCGCGGCCTTGCGGGCGGCCTGGGCCTGGCGCCGGCTCTCGGCCAGCTCCTCGTAGCGCCGCTCGAGCAGGCGGTGCTCGAGGCTCTGCTGCTGCCGGAGCTGCCGGGAGCTGGGCCAGCCCCCGTCCCGCTCCCGCTCGCGGTCCCGCTGCCGGTCCCGCTTGGCCTCGGCGCGGAGCCGGCCCAGCTCCTCCAGCTCCTCCAGCACCGAGCGCTGCGACCCCCGAGCGGCGCCGGCCCCGCCGAGCGCTGGCGAGCCCGTGCGGGGCCTGGGGGCCCGGGGGCGCCGGGGGACGGAGGGGAGGGCGGGGGCCCCGGCGCGGTGGGGGCTGCCGGGGGCAGCGGCGGCAGGGGAGGGCTGGGGGCGGCTCTGGACCAGGAGGCTGATGGAGAGCAGGAGGGCGGCGCTGCGGAGGGGGCGCGGGGGGTCGTCATGGCGCCTGGAAAGGGGAGGGGGTTGGGGGTGAGGGGAGGGTGATCTTTAATTTTGGGGGTCACCCCCCCACACACACACACACACAGAACCCCCCCTGCCGGGGTGTGGTGACACCCCCTCGATGTCAAAGCCCCGGGGACACACACAGAACACACACGTGTGAGCACAGAGAACACACACAGGGAACACACGGAACACAGATATGCAGGGAACACACACGGAACACACACACAACACACACAACACACACACACGTGTGCACAGCCCTAGGGAACACACACAGAGGAACACACGTGTGCACTCACACACGCGCACCCAGAACACACACACACGGAACACACATACATGGAACACCCAGGGAACACAGAACACACACACAGAACACACACAGAACACACGTGCACACACAGAACACACATGTGCACACATAGAACACACACAGAACACACAGAACACACATAGAACACACGTGCACACACAGAACACACACGTGCACACACAGAACACACACAGAACACACACAGAACACACATGTGCACACACAGAGAACACACAGAACACACATGTGCACACATAGAACACACGTGCACACACAGAACACGCACGGAACGCACACACAGACACGCTCCCCCACCCCCTCGGTGTGACACGCGCAGTCCCACCCTCCCCAACCCCCGACACGTGCGCATCCCCCCCTCCCCATCCCAAACCACCCTCCCCTGCCGGGAACACCCCCACGGCCGCACCCACGCGCATCACACCTCCCCCACCCCGGGGACACCACGCCCCTCCCCCCGCCCACGCACCCCCCAGCTCCTTTCACACCCACCCCCTTTGCCGCTGCCCCTCAATTCCCAGCACTCCCCAGAGCCCTTTTGCCCTCTCCATAAATCTTCCCCCTCCCAAAAAACACGCTGGGGAGGGGCGATTCACTCAACCCCTCCCCCAAATACAAACTGGGGGGAGGGGCACTACCGGCTCAGAGGCGTCTCTGCAGTCAGAGGGTCCCCCTTCTTCCAGCCTTGGGGGCGGGGGGTCCCAAAGGGGGTGGTCTGAAGAAAGGCGGGAGGGGGCTCGAAGTGGGGTGGTCCCGGTGGAGGAGGGGGATGCAGTGAGAGGATCCCAGCGAGGGCGGGGAAGGGGATCCGAGTGAAAGCGGAGGGTGAGGGGGTTCCGAAGGGGGAGGGGGCGGGAGGGGTCGCGGTGAGGAAGGGGGTCGCGGTGAGAAGGGGGGAAGGGGGAGGGGGTCGCGGTGGTCTCGCCGTCGTCTCGCCCTTCAGCACCGCGGACAGCGCGGCTCCGCCCCTTTATACGCGCGGGCCCACGTGGGGGTCTCCGATGACGTCAATGGCCCATTCATAAAATCCGGCCCGGGAAAAAGGGTGGGGCCGCCCGTGCGCATGCGCAGAACCCCCGGCACGGCAGGATGAATGAACGAGGGGGATGAATGGGCAGGGGAGGGGCTGGGGGGGCAATGAATGGGGCTGGGGGAGGCGAATGAATGGGGCTGGGGGGAATGAATGGGCCTGGGGGGTTGAATGGGGCTGGGGGGGCAATGAATGGGGCTAGGGGGTTGAATGGGACTGGGGGAGCAATGGAATGGGTCTGGGGGGTTGAATGGGGCTGGGGGTTGAGTGGAGAGGGGGATGAATGGGGTGGGGCTGGGGGGGGTATGAATGGGGCTGGGGGTTGGGTGGGGCAGGAGGAGGATGAGTGGAGGGGGTGGAGATGGAGGGGAGCTGAATGGGGAGGGGTTGAATGGGGAGAGGGGGGGTGAATGGAGAGGAGGGGGATGAATGGGGATGAGATGAATGGGGAGAGGGTGAATGGAGAGGGGGGTGGGATGGGGGCACGTGCAGTGTGACGTACACGGAGACCCCCAACACCTACACACGCAGCCCCTACACACCCCTACACCCCCCCAGAGACTCCCCTACACCTACACAACCCTTACACACCTCCCCTACACCTACACAGCCCTTACACACCCCCCTCACCTACACAGCCTCTACACCTACACACCCCCACACCCCCTACACCTACACAGCCCTTACACACCCCTCCTACACCTACACAGCCCTCACACCTACACAACCCTTACACCCTCCTACACCTACACCCCCTACACCTACACAGCCCTTACACAGCCTCTGTACTCCTACACGCACCTTACACACTCACCCACACCCCACACACCCCCTACACACCCAGGCACCCCCGTGCCCCTACACACCCCCTACACACACCCCCTACACCTACACACATCTTACACACCCTACCACCTTACACCTACACACCTCTACACCCCTACTCACACCCAGACACCCTCGTGCCCCTACACACCCCCTACACACCCCCTACTCACACCCAGACACCCCTTACACACCCAGACACTCCCGTGCCCCTACACACCCCACACACACTCCACACACCCCACACACACTCCCCACACTCCTACACACCTCCCAGGCCCTACAGGACCCCTGGGTGCCCCTACAGGGGCCTGTGTGAGCCCCCACAGCCCCCTCACTGCCCGTGGGTCTCTGGGGGTGTGGGCAGAGCTCCCACACGGCCCTGCCCTCGAGGCACCCCTATGGATCTGTCTCTGGGGGTCCCCCCACAGGTCCCTATAGGGCCCCTATAGATCCACAGGTCTCTCTCTGGGTCCCTATAGATCCACAGGTCTCTCTCTGGGTCCCTATAGATCCATAGGTCTCTATGGGGTCCCTATAGATCCATAGGTCTCTATGGGGTCCCTATAGATCCACAGGTCTCTCTATGGGGTCCCTATAGATCTCTGGGTCTCTCTCTGGGTGTCTCCAGGTCCCTGCAGATCTATAGGTCCCTACAGGTCCCTATGGATCTGTAAGTCTGCCTGTGGGTCCCCCACAGAGCCACAGGTCCCTCTGTGGGTTTCTATAGGTCCCCAGCAATCCATGGCTCTCTCCAGGTCCCTAGAGATCCATAGGTCACTCCATGGGTTCCAGGCCCCCACCACTCCATAGGTCTCTCTATAGGTCCCCACCAGATCCATAGGTCTCTCTATAGGTTCCCATAGATCCATAGGTCTCTCTATAGGTCCCTAGAGATCCATAGGTCTCTCTATAGGTTCCCAATAGATCCATAGGTCTCTCCATAGGTTCCTGGGGATCCATAGGTCTCTCCATAGGTCCCCCTGGATCTCCAGCCCCCCCAGCCCCCCCCAGGCCTCCATAGGCCCCCCCATAGGTGCCCCCCCCAGCACTGCGGGCGGAGGTGACTCACCAATGCAGCTGTTTGGGGGGAGGGGGGCCCTTATGGAGCTCCGACCCTCCCCACCCCTGGGGGCACTTTGGGGGAGGGGGTGAGTCATGGATCGGCGGCGGCGCGGCCGGGCCGGGGGGGCACAGGGGGCTATGGGGGCCTAGAAGGGGGCTGTGGGGGTCTAGAGGGGGCTATGGGGGCACAGAGGGCTATGGGGGCACAGGGGGCTATGGGGGGCACAGAGGGGCTGTGGGAAGGGTCTAGAAGGGAGCTATGGGGGCACAGGGGGCTATGGGGGGCTGAGGGGCAGGAGGCTGTGGGGCATGGGGTCTGCAGAGGGGCTATGGGGGGCACAGGGGGCTATGGGGGCACAGAGGGGCTGTGGGGGTCTAGAGGGGGCTATGGGGGCAACAGGGGGTTGTGGGGGGCACAGGGGCTGTGGGGGGTCTAGAGGGCTATGGGGGCACAGGGGGCTATTGGGGGTACAGGGGGCTATGGGGCTAGTAGAGGGCTAGCAGGGGGCTATGGGGGCACAGGGGGCTATTGGGGTACAGGGGGGCTATGGGGGCACAGGGGACTATGGGGGCTGCAGGCTATGGGGGCTGCAGGGGCCTGTGGGGGGTTGAGGAGGATGTGTAGGGGGCTGGGGAGAGGGGGGTCTAGAGGGCTTTGGGGGTCTGTAGAGTAAGGGGGTCTATAGGGTAAGGGGGAATGGAGGGGGTGTAGGGGGTGTCTGGGGTCTATGGGGTGAGGGGGTGTAGGGAGAGTCCAGGACTGTAGGGGAGGGGCAGGGGGTCAAGGAGGGGTCTCTGGGGGCGGGGATGGGGATCTGGAGGGTGTCTATAGGGTGAGGGGATTATAGGGGGGTATAAGGGGTGTGTGGGGGTGTCTAGAGGGGCTCGGGGTCTATGGGGTGAGTGGGGTAAAGGGGAGGGGCTGTATGGGGATTGGGAGTTATAGGGGGTCTGTAGGGGTTTCTATAGGGTGAGGGGGTGTACAGGTGGTCTATAGGGTGAGGAGTGTAAAGAGGGAGGAGGGGCTCTACAGGGGCATGGGGGGTCTGTAGTGTGAGGGGGGTGTAGGGAGGGTTTGGGGGTCCTATAGGTGAGGGGGAGGAGAGGTGGAGGGTTGGGGGCCATAGGAGGTCTATGGGGTGCAGGGGTATAGGGAGGGTTTGGGGGAGTTGTATGGAGATACAAATATATAAATATATAAATATTTACAGAGGGGGTTAGGATGTCTATGGGTGCCGGGGGTGGCTATAGGGGCTGGGCGATGCGGGTGTCTGTAGGGCCGGGGGTGGCGTTATAGGTGTTGGGGGTCTCTATAGGTGCCAAGGGGTGTCTATAGGGCCCGGGGGTGGGGTTGTCATGCAGGTCTCTCCCTCCTCCCCCTCCCCGTGGATGATTCACCCTGCGGCACCACCGCCCCCTCCCCCCTCCCCGATTCCCACGCGCCTCTCGGGGTGGGGAGGGGCGTCCGTGACGTCACCTCGGGATCACGTGTGGGGGGCTCCGACTGCAGCGGCACGAGCGACACCCCCTACCCCAAAATCCGCCCCACCCCCACGCCGTCCTTGGGGGTGACCCGGAGAGGGGGCGGGGGGAGGGTGGGATCTCCCCACTGTTGCCATGGAAACGGCCCTTAAGGACCAGCATCGCTCTGTTGCCATGGAAACCGTTGGGTGTTGGGAGGCGGTTTGGAGCAACAGCCCACGCGTGAAACCCCACGCCCCCTCCATCCCTGCACAGCTCGGGCTACCCCGTGAACCCCCCCACCCCGAAACACCCCACGTGTGATCCCTCCCCTCCCCGGCCGTCGATTTCCACCCCATTCTTCCCTGACCCGTTCCCCCCCCCATTATCCCCCTTTCCCCCATTATCCCCATTCTCTCTTCCCCCGTTATCCCCCCATTTCCGCTCCATATCCCCCTTCCCTCTCCATTCCCTCTCTCCTATCCCCATTCCCTCTCCATATCCCCATTCACGCTCCGTATCCCCGTTCCCCCATTCCCACCCCATCCCTCCACCCCCATTCCCCTTCCCATCCTGCCCCCCTTCCCCCGTGTCCCCAATTCCCCGTCCCATCCCACCCCCATTCCCACCCTCCATACCCCCTCCCACCCCATCCCTCCCCACATCCCCTCCCCAATCCCCGCAATTACCCCCCTTATCCACCTCTCATCCCCCTTTTCCCCCCATCATCCCACCCACCTCCTCCCCCCCCATCATCCCCTCCCAAATCCCCCCAAAACCTCCCCAAAAGCCCCGCCGCGCATGCGCGCTCCAGGCGCGGGAAGGGCCGCGCGGCCCGCGCGGGGCAGGAGGCGCCGTGGCTTAGTTGGTTAAAGCGCCTGTCTAGTAAACAGGAGATCCTGGGTTCGAATCCCAGCGGTGCCTCTTGGGGTCACAACCCTCATTTTGGGGTCACACCCCTTTTGGGGGGCTCAGTTGGTTAAAGCGCCTGTCTAGTAAACAGGAGATGCTGGGTTCGAATCCCAGCGGTGCCTCTGGGGGTTCCACACCCCCCTTTTGGGGTCACACCCCCCTTTTGGGAACAGGAGATCCTGGGTTCGAATCCCAGCGGTGCCTCTGGGGGTCACAACCCTCATTTTGGGGTCACACCCCCCCTTTTGGGGGGCTCAGTTGGTTAAAGCGCCTGTCTAGTAAACAGGAGATCCTGGGTTCGAATCCCAGCGGTGCCTCTGGGGTTCCACACCCCCCTTTTGGGGTCACACCCCCCTTTTGAGAACAGGAGATCCTGGGTTCGAATCCCAGTGGTGCCTTTTGTGGGTCACACAGCCCCCTTTTTGGGGTTACCCCACCCCTTTTTGGGGTCACCTCACCCCTTTTGGGGTCCCATACTCCCCTTTCTGGGGTCACCTCACCCCTTTTGGGGGTCACATACCCCTTTTGGGGGGCTCAGTACGTTAAAGTGCCTGTGCAGTTACCACGGGGTCCCGGGTTCGAATCCCAGCCGTGCTTTTATTCCCCACCCTGGGGTTCGGGGGCTTTGGGGGTTCAGGGGTCATCTGGGTGGGCTGGGAGAGGTTTGGGGGGGTCTGGGTGGATTTGGGATGTTTTTTCGGGGCTGTCCTTGGAAGGATCTGGGGGGTTTGTGGGGAACAGGGCGGTCCCGGGAGGGTCGGAGGGGCTCAGGGGGCTGAGGGGGGTCTGGGAGGCTGGAGGGGCTCAGGGGGCCGAGGGGGTCAGACGATGGTCAGGTGGGTGTCGGGGGACCCCACAGGCCTCCTTGTGCCTCTCGAAGAGCCGCTGGAGCCGCTCCACGTAGAGCTCGTGGTAGTGGGCGACCTGCTCGAGGAGGGGCTCGGCACGCGTGGCACCTCAGGGGGCCCCACTGCGGGGGGAGGGGAGTTTCAGCACCCCAAAAACCCCACGGCACCCCTGAACCCCTCCCGGAATCCTCAAATCCCCAGGAACTCAGACACCTCCCCCACCCCACGGGATCCCCAGACCCACCGGGACCCCAACCCTCCCCGGAATCCCCAACCGCCCCCAGACCCCCAAAGCCCCAGGGCACCCCAGGACCCCCCAGAATCCCCAAAACCTGCTCGGCACCCTCAGACCTGGCCCTCACACCCCCTCCCCTCCAACCCCCCTTTCCCTCCCTGACCCCCAAACTCCCCTAAACTTTCTCCTGACCCAAACTCCCTAAACTTCCTCTCTGACCCCCAAACTCCACCCTCCACACCACCCCTCCCAACTCACCCCAAATCCCTCCCCGTGCCCCCAAACCTTTTCATTGCCCCCAAACTCCCCCAGACTCACCCACCACGGTGAGGGGCACCGCGAAGGGCAGGAAGGGGAGCCCCCCCCGGCCCCAAAAGATGCAGGGGGCGAACCCCAAAATCCTCTTCAGCCCCCGCTGGAGCCGCCGCAGCCACGAGCCCTCGGAGAGGGGGGGCTGCCGGAACGTGTCCTGCTCCCCAAAAACGTACACGGGCACCAGGGGGGAGCTGCCCACCCCCCCCCCGGCCAGGGGGGGTCAGGGCTGCACCCCAAAACCGGGAGGGGCGGTCCCCGAACCCCAAAATGTGCCCCTGCACCCCAAAACCGGGAGGGGCGGTCTGCCAAATGTGCCCTACACTGAAATGTGCCCCTGCACCCCAAAACCAGGAGGGCTGACCCCAAAATGTGCCTCCACCCTAAAACCGGTATAACCCCCCAAACTACCTAAATAACCCCAAAACCCCTCATAGACCCCCTCAGCCCCGCCTGTACCCCCAAAACCCCCATAGACCCCCTCAGCCCCACGCTGTACCCCCAAAACCCCTCATAGACCAGCCCGCCCCCCTCGCCTCGGCTACCACTGGGTGGCTCAGGTGACACGGGGACACCCGAGATCCTCCGGGCCCCAAAATCTCCTTTAGCCACTCCCACAGCCCCTCCCAGGGATCCCCCAGCCCCTCCCAGGGACCCCAAACCCTCCCAGGACCCCCAAACCCTCCCAGGAGCCTCCAAGCCCTCCCAGGGACCCCCAAGCCCTCCCAGGACCCCCTCCAAGCCCCCAAGCCGCCCCTCACCCGTGGCGCAGGGCCAGGCGCACGGAGCCGCGGCGGTGCCGGAGGGTGACGCGGTGACAGCCCGGGGTCCCCTCGAGCGCCTCGGCCGCGCCCCCACCATGATCAGCAGCGCCTGCGACCCCCGCGCCAGCACCGCGTCCAGGCAGCGCCGGCTCACCGGGCACAGCCCTGGGAGGTGTGGGGATATGGGGGAAATGGGGGTCAGGAGCGCCCCAAATTCCATCCGACCCCAAAAACCCCAAATCGGACCCAAAAACCCTAAAGCAGACCCCAACTCCTCCCATGGGACCCCAAACCAGACCCCGGGGACAGCACGCGCGTCCAGGCAGCGCCGGCTCACGGGCACAGCCCTGGGGGGTGTGGGGGAAATGGGGGTCAGGGGTGCCCCAAAATCCCCTAAAACACCCCAATAACCCCCATAACACCCCGATAACCCCCATAACACCCCCTCACAGCTCCCCAAACGCCCCCCAAATCCCCTAAAGCCCCCACCACCCCGCGGCCAGGGCATACTCCCGGTACAGGGGTAGCTGGAACAGACCCCCAGATCCCCCAATAACCCCCAGATCCCCATAACCCCCAAAGTCCCCAAATAACCTCCCAAAGCCCCAGACCCCCAAAGCCCCCAATACCCCCAAGCCCCCAAGCCCCCTCACCGCGGCCAGGGCGTACTCTCGGTACAGGGGCAGCCAGAACAGCCCCCAAGCCCCAATACCCCCAAGACCTCAACCCCAATAACCCCCCAGAGCCCCCAAACCCCAATAACCCCCAATAACCCCCAAAGCCCCCAGAGCCCCCAAAGCCCCCAGGCCTCACCGGCCAGGCGTACTCGGTACAGGGGCAGCCGGAACAGCCCCCAAGCCCCCAAACCCCTCAAAGCCCCCAGTAGCCCCCAAAGCCCCCAAAGCCCCTCAGAGCCCCTCACCGGCGGCCAGGGCGTACTCCGAGTACTAGGGGCAGCCAGAACAGCCCCCAAACCCCCAATAACCCCAGAGCCCCAGAGCCCCAATAACCCCCAAGCCCCCAGAGCCCCTCACCAGCGGCCAGGGCGTACTCCGGTACAGGGGCAGCCGAACAGCCCCCAAAGACCCCAATAACCCCAACCCCAAACCCCCCAATAGCCCCCAGACGAACAGCCCAAACCCCCAATAACCTCCCAGAGCTCCCAGAGCCCCCACCAACCTCCCAAGCCCCCAGAGCCCCTCACCAGCAGCCAGGGCGTACTCCCGGTACAGGGGCAGCCGGAACAGCCCCGCCAGGGCCGCCAGGCAGGGCTGCAGCCCCGGGCAGGGCCCCCCCCCAAATTGGGCCCGGGGGCGCCGTGGCTCCCGGCCCCCGTGACGAAGGCGCCGAAGACCCCGATGCAGGCGTGCCGTGGGGGTGGGCGGCCAGCACGTAACTGCGGCCGGGGGGCAGCGCGGCCTCGCGCACCACCTGGGACACCGGGACAACGGGGGGACAACGGGGGGACAATGGGGGGTTATTGGGAGATTGGGGACGAGCGGGGGACAATGGGGTTAATGGGGGTTTAGGGAGGATTGAGGACATGGGGACAACGGGGGGACAACGGGGTTTGGGGACAAGTGGGGACAATGAGAGGGGGTTATTGGGGACATCGGGACACGGGGGACAATGGGGGTTATTGGAGGCTTAGGAGGGCTTGGGGACACGGGGGACAATGGGGGGTTAATGGGGTTTTGGGGGATTGGGGACGGGGACACGAGGGGGGACAATGCGGGTTAACGGGGGTTTGGGGGGGATTGGGGACACATGGGGGGACAATGGGGGTTATTGGGGGTTTAGGGGATTGGGGACATAGGACACGAGGGGAAGGTTTGAGGAGATTGGGGACACAGGACACGAGGGGGGAACAACGGGGCATTAATGGGGCTTGGGGGATTAGGGCCCGGGGACAATGGGGGTTATTGGAGGTTTGGGGGACTGGGGACATGGGGGGACAATGGGGGGTTATGGGGGTTTGGGGAGACTGGGGACATGGGACACGTGGGGGGTCACTGGGGATGTGACACCCCTCCTCCCCCAATTCCCCCTCGTACCTTGATGGGAAATAGTCACAGAAATGGTCCCAAATCCGCCAGTTCCGAACCCAATCCCAGTGCCGGGGCCCTGGGGAAGGGGGGGGAGGAAAAACCAAGCGTGGGGTCCTTTGTGAAGGTCCCAGGACCCCCACGCGTGTTTTTACCCCTCCCACGCCCCCTTTTGCACCCCCATTTCCCCTCCCCTTTAATCCCACGACCCCCCACGCCTCCCCTCACCCTGGGACCCCCACTGCCCCCACCCCACCCCCAACGCGTGTTTTTACCCCTCTCAGGGCCGTCCCAGTCCCCCTTTGCCCCCTTTCCCCCATTCCCCCGACCCCCCACGCGTGTTTTTACCCCTCTCGGGGCCGTCCCAGTCCCAGAGCCACCACCCCGCGTAGGTGACCGGGAGGAGCCAAAAGCGCGTCCGGAGCAGCCACAGCAGCAGCAGCACCGACGCCGGGCCTGGCGGCAATTAGGGGGCTCATTAACGCCTTAATTAACGCACTCAGTGACGGGCAACTGCTCATTTATACGCTTATTTATTAATTACTGCTTCATTAATCATTTATCCCTTAATTAATTGATTTAACTCGAATTGTTATTAATTATTAATAAAAATAATTCATATGATATGATTACTATAATTAATAAAAATTAATTAAAAATTAATAAATAATTATCAGTTATTAATTAATAATTACCCCCATTAATTACTCCTCCCAATAAATTCCCCCCATTAATTCTCCCCTGCAATTAATTACCCTCCAGGATCATTCCCCCTCCCACCACAACCCCCCAAATTACGGCCTCCCCCATGTGTTAATTACCCCCCCCCGTTAATTAGCTGGTTAATTAGCCCGTTAATTACCGAGGAAGAGGAAGGTCAACATCAACTGCAGGACACTGAGCGCCCGAACCCACCCCTGCAACGACCCCCCCATCCTGGGGGGGCAAAGAGGGGGGCAATTAACACCCCGGGGGTTAATTAATGGGGCAATTAATTAGGCAGTAATGAATGAGGAGGTAATTAAACTAATAATTAACCAGTGGGAAGGGCAATGATGGAGGGGGGATTAACCCCGGGGGAGGCAAAAGGGGTGGTCAGACCCCTGGGGGCACTAACACCCCAGGGGTTAATTAATGGGGGTAATTAATGGGGAGTAATTAATAGAGCAGTAATTAATAGCGTAATTAACCACCGAGGGCTGTAATTAACCCCTGGGGGGGTTAATTAACACTCGGGGGCAATTATTCGGGGGCATTAAAACCGGGGGGGAAGAATTAATGAGGAGGGTAATTAAAGGGAGGATAATTAACACTGGGGGATATTAATTAACCTTCGAGGGAATGTAATTAACCCGGGGGGTGTTAATTAACTACGGGGGGAGGGGGATTTGATTAATGGTGGAGGTGGAGATTAATGGGCGGGGTAATTAATGGGCGCAATAATTAATGGGGGTAATTAATGGGGGCTAATTAATGGGGGTAATTAACCACTGGTGGGGTTGTAATTAACCCCTGAGGGTGTTAATTAATCCCGGGGGGGTTAATTTGGGACCCCCCCCACTCACCTGCCACGGGTTCCTCGTTCCGGGCGGGGCCGAACTTTGTCCTCTCGGGGCGGAGGAAAAACCCCGGGGTGTGTTTGGAGGGGGACGGGGGGGGACAGAAAGGGGGGACCCCCCCTTGGAGAACCCCAAAATCTTCCGAGGGACCCCCAGCACCCAAAACCACCCAAATTTGCCCCAAACGTAGAGAAAAAAAGGGGACCCCACCCAAAAATAAAAAGTTTAGGACACCTCCCACACACAGATTTGGACGTCAAAGAGGAGGATCCTCGAAATTTTGGGGGCCCCCAAGCTACCCCCCAAAGCCCCCAAATAACGCGCCCCCAACCCCAAAATTCAACCACCAAAGGACCCTCAAAACCCTCAGACCTCCCTACCCCCAGATTTTGACACCAAAGGGGTCCCCAAAATCTTGGGGTCCAGCAGACTCCCCACCCCCAAAACCTTCTGATCCCCGAGCCCCAAATCCACCCCTCGGACCCCCAAACCCCCAAGACCCCCCAAAAAGCCCCTCCCCGGCTCCATCCGAGCTCCTTTATTGGGCACCGAGGGGGTCACAGAGAACTCTGGGGGCTCCCCGGGGGATTTTGGGGGGGTCCCCGAGGGTCGGGGGGGTCCCCGAGGGTGGGGGGGTCAGACGAAGGTGAGGTGGCGCTCGGGGGGGACCCCGTACCCCGCTTTGTGCCCCTCGAAGAGCTCGTGGAGCCTGTCCAGGTAGCGGCGGTGCCAAAGCTCCACCTCCTCCTCCGACGGCTTCGGGGTCCGGGGCAGCTCCAGGGGGGACCCCACTTTGGGGGGGGGACCCCCAAAGTTTGGTTAAGGGGGGCCCCGTGGGGAGGAGAAGGCTGGGAATCCTCCCCCTCCCACGGCTTGTCCCACCTTGTCACCCAAATTTTGAGAACCCCCAAAATTTGGCGGGAGGACACACACATGGTGTGTGAGAGACTCCCCTGGTTGGGACTGAGGCGTTCAGGGGGGTCCCCAACCCCGTCCGGACCCCCAAATCACCCCCCAGAACCCCCCAGGGTGGATTTGGGATTCCCACAGTTCCCCCCCGGGGTGATTCAGGGGTGAATTTTTTGGGGTCCTCCGCCCCATTTTTGGAGTGCCCCCCGTTTTCCAGAAGTTCACCCCCCTGGATGAATTAAGGGGGGTTCAGGGGGTCCCCCCCACCCCCATAGGACAAATTTAGAATTTCTTTCCCCCTCCCCGGGGCTGATTCTGGGGTGAATTTTTTGGGGTCCCCCCCCCTGTTTTTGGGGCTCACCGACGGTGTGGATGGGCCGGCGGAAGGGCAGGAGCCCGAAGCTGTACTGGAAGACCCCCCGTGCGTGGAAGAGGGGCAGAGCCACCCCCAGCAGGCGCTGCAGGCGCTGCTGGAGCCGCCGCAGCCGCGAGCCCGGAGGGTTCGGCACCTGCCGGAACAGCTCGTTCTCCCCAAAGCTGAACACGGGCACCAGCGGCGTCCTGGGGGGATACAGGATTGAAGGGACCCCCCAAATCCCACCCTCATTCCCTGCTGGAACAGCTCGTTCTCCCCGAAAGCTGAACACGGGCACCAGAGGGGTCCTGGGGGGATACAGGATTGAGGGGACCCCCAGATTGAGGGGACCCCCCAAATCCCACCCTCATTCCCTGCCAGAACAGCTCGTTCTCCCCAAAGCTGAACACGGGCACCAGAGGGGTCCTGGGGGGATACAGGATGAGACCCCCGGGGTGAGGGGACCCCCCAAATCCCACCCTAATTCCCTGCCAGAACAGCTCGTTCTCCCCAAAGCTGAACACGGGCACCAGAGGGGTCCTGGGGGGCACAGGGGGAGACCCCCAGGGTGAGGGGACCCCCCAAATCCAGCCCTAATTCCCTGCCAGAACAGCTCGTTCTCCCCGAAGCTGAACACGGGCACCAGCGGGGTCCTGGGGGGATACAGGATTTAGGGGACCCCCCAAATCCAGTCCTAATTCCCTGCCAGAACAGCTCGTTCTCCCCAAAGCTGAACACGGGCACCAGCGGGGTCCTGGGGGGCACAGGGGGAGACCCCCGGGGTGAGGGGACCCCCCAAATCCAGTCCTAATTCCCTGCTGGAACAGCTCGTTCTCCCCAAAGCTGAACACGGGCACCAGAGGGGTCCTGGGGGGCACAGGGGGAGACCCCCGGGGTGAGGGGACCCCCAAAATCCCACCCTAATTCCCTGCCAGAACAGCTCGTTCTCCCCAAAGCTGAACACGGGCACCAGCGGGGTCCTGGGGGGATACAGGATTGAGGGGACCCCCCAAATCCCACCCTCATTCCCTGCAGGGTCTCGGAGCTCCCCCTGCCCCAAACCCACCCCCAGGAGCCCAAATCCCCTGGGACACCAAATCCCCCCCATTCGAGACCCCAAATCCAGCCCCAAGACCCCAAATCCAGCCCCAAGACCCCCAATCCTCTCATTTAAGACCCCAAATCCCCCTAAGCCCCCTCCCAGCACCCCTCCCACCCCTCAATTCCCCCACACCCACCCATATTGCAGGGTGAGAGCACAAAGCCCCCAAAGCCCCTCCCAGCCCCCAAAGCCCCTCAAATCCCCCAAAGCTCACCCATATCGCAGGGCCAGGCACATGAAGCCCCCAACCCCTCTTCCCAGCCCCCCCCAAAGCCCCCAAATCCCCCAAAGCCCCCCAAAGCTCACCCATATCAGGCCAGGCATGAGCAAGCCTTCCCAGCCCCCAAATCCCCCAAAGCCCCCCAAAGCTCACCCATAGCGCAGGGCCAGGCGCACAAAGCCCCCCAAATCCCCCCAAATCTCACCCATAGCGCAGGGCCAGGCGCACGAAGCCCTTCCTGCGCAGGATCTGCAGGCGCAGCCCCCCCGGGTGGGCGTCCAGGGACTCGGGGGGCCCCCCCAGGGCGATGACGGCCACGTGGCCCCCCTTCTGGCTCAGCAGGTGCTCCAGGCTCGAGGCCTCCGAGGAAACCAGGCCTGGAAAGGGGGGGGGAAAACCCCAAAGATCAGGGAATGGGGGAAACCAGGGATTTGGGGGGGAACCAGAGATTTGGGGGAAACCAGGATCTGGAAACCAGGATTTGGGGAAACAGGATTGAAACAGGGATTTGGGGGAAACCAGGATTGGGGAAACGGATTTGGGGGAAACAGGGATTGTGGGAAACCAGAGTTTGGGAAACCAGGATTTGGGAAACCAGGGTTGGGGGAAAACAGGGATTTGGGGGAAACAGGGATTTGGGGGGAAACCAGAGATTTGGGGGGGAAACCAGGGATTTGGGGGGGATTCACCCCCAGAATCGGGGCATTGGGAGACCCAGGGACTTGGGGGGAGCCCCGAAATCGGGGTGCTGGGAGTCCCAGGGATTTCTGGGTTGAACCCCCCCAAATTCAGCGTGCCGGGGACCCAAGGATTTGGGGGATTTGGGGACAAACTCGGGGATTTTGGGGACAAACTCGGGGATTTAGGGGCACCCCCAAATTTGGGGCACTGGGGGAACCCTGGGGCTTGGGGGTCCTCGGGGATTTGGGGTGGGGTCACCCAAAATTGGGGTTCTGGGGGATTTGGGGTCCGGGGACACCCCTGGGAGGGATGCAGGGATTTGGGGACAAACACATGGATTTAGGGGCTGCCCCCCCTCGTTTTTGGGGTGCCCCTCACCCCCGGCCATCATGTATTCCCGGAAGAGGGGCAGGGACACCCCAAAATGGGGGTCCTGGGGGGGGATGCAGGGATTTGGGGACGAACACGTGGATTTGGTGGATTTGGGGTCTTTGCCCCCCCCGTTTTTGGGGTGCCCCCTCACCCCCGGCCATCATGTATTCCCGGAAGAGGGGCAGGCGGAACCAGCAGGGCAGGGTGAGCAGGTGGGGGCTGAGCCCCGGGAAGAGCCCCCCAAACCCCGTGGCCTCGGTGCAGAAATTCCCGAAGGCCCCGGCGGCCAAAACGCCGTGGGGGTGGAAGCCAAAGATGTAATTCCTGCCGGGGTCCAGCTCCACCGTCCGGATCAGCTGCAAATTCGGGGGGTTTGGGGTAAAAATAAAAATAAAAACCCCGGGATTGGGGAGAGAGGGGAAAAAAAAACAGAAGAGGGTTGGAAAGGCACGAAATGAGAACAGAACCTGAGACAGCCCCCAAAAAATGAGACCCCCGCCCCAAAAAGGCTCCTGAGAAAGCCTCAAAAATCCTCGCAAGGAGCCCCAAAATCGTTCCTGGGACTCCCCCTCCCAAAATCCGCGAGACCCCCCCCCAATCCTCCTGAGATCCCCCAAAAAAACCATCCCCAACACCCCCTGCCCCCCAACCCTCCTGAGATCCCCAAATCCTCGGAAGGAGCCCCAAAACTTCGGAGACTCCCCAATTTCCCCAAATCCCCCAACCCTCCATAAACCCCTCCCAAACCCCTCAGCCACCCAAAACCCCCTAAATCCCCAGCCCATGCCCCCAAAACACCCAACCCCCACCATGGACCCTCCATAACTCATTGAACCCCTCAAATTCCCTCAAAACCCCTCCCCAAATCCCCCGGGACCCCCAAATCCCCCAACCTCCCCAACTCCCCACCCCTCCAACAAAACCCCCCAGACCCTCAACGGACCTCCAATTCCCCAAAACCCCTCCCCAAATCTCCCCACGGGACCCCAAATCCCCCTAACCCCCCGAGGCCCACCGAGATGGGGAAGTAGTCTCGGAAGTGACGCCAGAGCGCCCAGCGGCGCACCCAGGGCGAAGGGCGCCCCCCGCGGCGGGGCGTGTCGCGGTCCGCCAGCAGCCACAGCCCGTAGAGCAGGGCGGGCACCCAGAGCGGGCCCCGCAGCGCCAGCACGAACAGCAGCGTGCACAGCTGGCCTGGGGACACCACAGCTGGCTGGGGACATCACTGGGTACAGCTGGGACACCGCCCTGCACAGCTGGGACACCGCCCTGCACAGCCAGCCTGGCACCCAGAGCGGGCCCCACAGCGCCAGCACGAACAGCAGGGTGCACAGCTGGCCTGGGGACACCACAGCTGGCCTGGGGACACCACAGCTGGGGACACCACAGCTGGCTGGGGACACCGCTGGGCACAGCTGGGACACCGCCCTGCACAGCTGGCCTGGGGGGTCCCACCACCCCGGGGGGGTCACACAGTTTCCCCCGGCCCGGGCCCCGCAGTGCCCCAGGGACCGACTGCCCGGGGGGCTTCGTTTTGGCGCAGCCCCCCAAAAACCCCCCAGACCGGGGGGAAAAGAGGAGTTCATGGTTGAGTTAAAGGACCAGAGATTTGGGAAGGGCAGGGGGGGGACACACAGACACCCCCCCCCAGGAATGCCCCCCCCCGACACGCCCTTGCCGAGGGTCCCCGTTTTCCCAGAGAGCCCCCAAAGCCCCCTCGTGCAGGGGGGTGTCCATCCCACACAGCCCTAAGGGACCCCCCCGGGGGGGCTCAGGGGGCTTTGGGGGACCCCCCACTCTGTTACCCCCCTCATCCCATTGCTTCCCCCCCCCGCCTCCAGGGCTACAGACCCCACCCCAGGACCCCCTTTTTGGGGTTCCCATTGCCCCCTGGGTAGGGGGTTTTGTTGGACCCCAGGGGTTTTGGGTCCCCGAGCGCTCACCGAGGAGGAGGAAGGAGAAACCCACTGGAGCACGGCGAGGTCTGCAGGCGGCGCCGCAGGGGAGGCGAGGGGGCGAAACGGAGGGGGGCATCGCCGGGGAGGCTTTGGGGGTCCTAGGGTCTTGGGGAGGGGGTTGGGGGGTTCTGGGAGCAGGGGAGTGGGGTTTGGGGTGCTACTGGGAGAGGGAAGGAGGATTGGGGGCTACTGGGAATGGGGTGGGTTTGGGGGTACTGGGAGTGGAGGGGTAGGGTGGGTTTGGGGGTTACTGGGAGAGGATGGGTTACTGGGAGTGGGTTTCGGGGTTACTGGGAGTGGAGGGGGTGGGGGGGTTGGGGCGGGGTTACTGGGAGTGGGGTTTGGGGGAGTACTGGGAGAGGGAGGGGGTTACTGGGAATGGGGGTGGGTTTGGGGGGGGTACTGGGAGTGGAGGGGTGGGTTTAAGGGGGTTACTGGGAGCTGCTGGTTGTAACTAGGGGGGGTTACTGGGAGCTACTGGGTTTACTGGGGGGGTTAGTGGGAGTTGCTGGGTTTAAGGGTGGATGAGTTAGCGGGAGCTGCTGGTTTTAACTGGGGGGCAGCCCCACCCCTCCCCTGGGGGGGGTGTTGGGCAATGTCGGGGTTGTGCAAATGGGGGGCAAAGGGGACGGGTTGTGAAACTGGGGAGGGCACCGGGAGGGGACTGGGAGACACTGGGAGGGGACTGGGGACACTGGGAAGGATTGGAGGGCACTGGGGGGCACTGGGGGGGGTCACTGGGATGTACCAGAGGACACTGGATACCCTCTCCCCACCCAAATGACACCGAACTGGGATAAACTGGGATGAACTGGGGGTTTATTGGGTTTGGAGGGGGGTGGGTGGGACACGACGCACAACGGGGACCCCCGGGCACCCCCAACCCCCCTGAGGGGTCCTGGGACACTGAGGGACCCCCAGGGACACTTTGGGGACCCCCCCAATCCCCCTTTACCCCCACGCAGAGACCCCAGGACCCCCCCCCGGGGGTGTCACTGCCCGGCCTGGGGGTCCTGCGTGCCCCCCCCGGGGGCGCCGTTGGCTTTGCCGAAGGGGGGGTGGCTGTGGCTGTTGTTGCTGCTGCTGGGGGGCTGTGGGGGTGGCCCTTGGGGACTGTCCCCAGGCTCCGCCCTGGGCGTGGCCGCAGGGGACGCGGCGGTGGCCGGGGGACAACTGCTGGGGGCGGGGGCGGCCGGGGGCGGCGCCGGGGGCGCGGGGCGGGGCCGGCCTTGCTGTCGCCGCCCCGCGGAGGCAGGGACACCACGATGTACTTCTGCACGGTGGCGCTGGTGGCGCTGGTGGCGCTGGTGGCGCTGGGGGACACCAGCTTGACCAGCGGCTGCACGCTGGGGACCGTGGTGGTGACGGGGGACGTGGCCGTGGGGGCGGGGGACGTGCTCAGCGTGATCACCTGGGGGGGAGGGGGCGCCCCCGGTGACATCTGTGTCCCCACGCTGTCCCCCCAGTGTCCCTTCCAGTGTCCCCACGCTGCCACCGTGTCCCCCCGGTGACATCTGTGTCCCCCCAGTGTCCCTTCCAGTGTCCCCACGCCGTCCCCGTGTTCCCCCCGGTGACATCTGTGTCCCCACGCCATCACTGTGCCTCCCCAGTGTCCCTCCCAGTGTCCCTCCCAGTGTCCCCACGCTGTCCCCGTGTCCCCCCAGTGTCCCTCCCAGTGTCCCTTCCACTGTCCCCACTGCTCCCTGGCCCCCCAGTATCCCCAATCCCCCCCATGTCCCCCCAGTGTCCCCCTGTCCCCTGCCCTCCCCAATGTCCCCAGTGTCCCCACTGTCCCCTGCTCCCCAGTGTCCCCACTGTCTCCTGCCCCCCAGTGTCCCCAGTGTCCCCACTGTCCCCTGTGCCCCCACTGTCCCCTGTCCTCCCCAGTGTCCCCACTGTCCCCTGTCCCCCCCAGTGTCCCCCTGTGCCCCCCAGTGTCCCGGTGTCCCCAGTACCTGCTGGGGGGCACTGCTGGCCGAGGACATGACGATGAACTTGGGGGGCGGTGGCGAGGGCTGGGTGGGGGTCCCGGGGCGCCCCGAGCCCAGGGTGGGCACGGGGACAGGGACGGGCAGGGCGATGGCCGAGGGCACCTTGATGATGCTGGGGGCGCGGGGACCCCCCGGGGCCTGCGGGGCCTGGGACAGCGTCAGCGTGGGCCGGGGCTGGGGGGACAATGGGACACGGTTACAGGGGACATGGGGGGGACACGAGAGGACAGGGGGACACAGCTCACAGAGAGATAGAGGGACATGGGACACAGGGGGACACAAGGGGACACACAGCCACCGACGTCCCCAGGTGTCCCCTCCTCACCTGGGTGATGGTCAGGGTGGTCCTGTTGACCTGCTGGGCCTGCAGGGCCGCCTGTGCCCGGGCCTTCACCACGTGGGAGCAGAGCAGCCCCCCCAGGTACCCAAAATCCCCCCGGTACGACTCGGGGCTGTCGGGGGGCGGCCGCGCCTTGGCCAGCACGGGGGCACAGTGCTTCTGTGGGGACATCGTGGGGACATTGGGGACATCAGGGACAGCATGGGGACATTGGGGACATCAGGGACAGCATGGGGACATCATGGGGACATTGGGGACATCAGGGATATCATGGGGACACCCCCAGCACGGGGGCACAGTGCTTCTGTGGGGACATCATGGGGACATTGGGGACATCAGGGATATCATGGGGACACCCCCAGCACGGGGGCACAGTGCTTCTGTGGGGACATCGTGGGGACATTGGGGACATCAGGGACATCATGGGGACACCCCCAGCATGGGGGCACAGTGTTTCTGGGGGGACAGGGGGACATTGGGGTCATCCCCAGTGCCAGAGCACAGTGTCCCTGTGTCCCCAGTCCCCCCAAGGTGTCCCCAGGGTGTCCCCAGTGCCCCCCCAGTGCCCCCAGCCTCACCAGCAGCAGGGTCTGCACGTGGTCGGCCCCGATGCGGTCGATGTTGCTGACCACGGGCCCTTCCAGAATGTTCCGCACCCGCTCGCCCTCGGCCGGGAGCCGCGGCAGGATCAGCGTCTTGATCACCTGGGGGGACAGCGGGGACACTGGGGATGTGGGGGGGACATCAGGGACACTGGGGACATGGGGGGGACATTGGGGACACTGGGGACGTGGGGGGGACATTGGGGACACTGGGGACATGGAGGGGACATCAGGGACACTGGGGACATGGAGGGGACGTGGGGGGGACATCGGGGACACTGGGGATGTGGGGGGACACCAGGGACAGTGGGCACATGGAGGGGACATCAGGGACACTGGGGACATTGTGGGGACATGGGACACAGAGGTGACAGAGGGTGGCAGGGAAGTGCCACAGGCGGCCCACGGACACAGAGGTGACACTGGGGGTGACCCAGGATGGTAGGGAGGTGACCCATGGTGGCAGGGAGGTGACCCTGGTCCGTGGTGGCAGGGAGGTGACACAGCTGGCCCGGGGGCACTCACGTCGTGGCCGAGCTCCGCCAGCCCCGCGATGGAGCCGTAACGGGTCGTCCAGGGGGTCTTGTCATCCACCCAGCTCTGGGGGGACACGGGGGGTGAGACGGGGCTGACCCACAGCACAGCCCACCCTACAGCCCACCCCCATTCCCATCCCAGCCCCATTCCCACCCCAAATCCCACCCCCAGCCCCAAACCCCACCCCAGACCCCCTCCCCACCTTGGTGAAGGTCTTGGTGATGCGGGACTGGATGTTGGTGGTGGTGCTGAAGTTCTTGCACACCTGGGCCACCAGCCCCAAATCCCACCCCAAATCCCACCCCCAGCCCCAAATCCCCTTCCCCAGACCCCCCTCCCCACCTTGGTGAAGGTCTTGGTGATGCGGGACTGGATGTTGTTGGTGGTGGTGCTGAAGTTCTTGCACACCTGGGCCACCAGCCGGGCCGCGAAGTCGCGCAGGGCCCAGTGATTGTCCACGTCGGGACGGAGGCACAGCTGGCGGCTCACGATGCACGTCATCACCACGGGGATCAGCTCGTGCAGCTGGGGACAGGGGGGACATGGGGGACATTGGGGACACTCTGGGGACATGGGGGACATTGGGGACACTCTGGGGACATGGGGACATGGGGACATTGGGGACACCTCAGGCCAGCCCCGCAGGCACAGCTGGCGGCTCACGATGCACGTCATCACCGCCGGGATCAGCTCGTGCAGCTGGGGACACTGGGGACATGGGGACACTCTGGGGACATTGGGGACATTGGGGACATGGGGGACATTGGGGACATGGGGACACTCTGGGGACATGGGAACATTGGGGACACCCCAGGTCAGCCCCACAGGCACAGCTGGCGGCTCACGATGCACGTCATCACCGCGGGGATCAGCTCATGCAGCTGGGGACATGGGGGACACTCTGGGGACACTGGGGACACTCTGGGGACATTGTGGACATTGGGGACACTCTGTGGACATTGGGGACACTCTGGGGACACGTGGCGGGGCCGTGGGTGCAGCCCCAGGTCGGAGCTGGGGTTGAGGAGGGGCCTGACCCGGTGTCAGGGTGAATGGTGAGGGGCTGGTGGCACCTGGGGACGCACCTGGGGACGTGAAGGGGTCACGTGGGGGTCACAGGAGGTGACAGGGAGGTGACAACGAGGTGGCAGCGCCCCCACTCACGTATTTCTCCAGGTACAGGGTGGGGTTGTCCATCAGGGCCTTCACCATCCTCATCAGGTAGATGAGCAGGGCCAGGTTGTTCTGCACCACGTTCACCCTCACCTGGGGGGGCACAGGGGGGGTCACGGGGGGTCCCCTGGGCTTTGGGGACACCCCCCAGGTTTGGGGACACCCCCTGGACTCACCCCCTCGGAGATGAAGGTGCTGAAGCGGGGCAGCATCTGGTACAGCCCGGGGTCGGTGGCGATGCTCTGCAGGGCCTCCTGGGGGGACGTTGGGGACATTTGGGGACACCCCAGGGACAGGGGGACACACGTGGAGAGCAGGGGGGGAAATTTGGGGTGCCCTGGGCAGGTTTTGGGGGCTCCCAGGGGGGTTTTGGGGTCACTCACAGCCCGTTTGGCCTCGCAAGACCCCGCATGGGCCTCGGTGATCTCTTTGTAGTAGAGCTGCTGCTCCACCGACAGCTCGTGGACGCTGCGGGGCTTCAGCCTCAGGGGGGGCCCCTCCAGCAGGGGGGGCTTCTTGTCCTTCCCTGGGGGGTCCCCAAAGATCACAGACTGCCCCCCAAACCCCACTGACCCTCCCCACACACCCCTAAATCCCACTGACCCCCCCCAGCTCCCTCTAAAACCCCTTCAACCCCTCCCAGCCACCCCAAACCCCCTCACATCCCCCAAAACCCCTCATACCCCCCAAAACCCCTCACATCCCCCAAAACCCCCTCACACCCCCCTCAAACCCTCTCCCAGCCCCCAAAACCCTTCCCAACCTCCCCATGCCCCCAAAGCCCTCCCAGCCCCAGCCTTGCCATCTCCCCACCTTTGCCATCTCCCCCGCCCCCCCGGGCCCTTGGCCTTAGGGGTCCCGTCGTCCTCCTGGCCCGGCTTGGCCGATTTGAGGGGCTCGGTGGCCTCGGCCTTTTGCTGCTCCTTGGGGGCTTGTTTTGGGGGGGCAGAGCACAGAGAGGGGGTCAGGGGGGTCCCCAAACCCCTCCCCTGCCGTGGCAGGGGTTGAACAGCCCCACCCCAAGTGTGGGGGGTCTGGGGTCACTCACCGGGCGGGGGGTTCTCGGGGATGGCGGGCTGCACCCCCTCGATGCTGAGCCAGTGGGCTGAGGGGGGACCCCCAAAACGGGGGGAGCTGTCCTAAAAACCCCCCTGAAAAGTGCTCTGCAGCCCCCAGAGAATCCCAAATCCTCCCCTGCAGGCCCCCAAATCCCCCTTCCAGCCCCCAAATCCCCCAGACTTGCTCTCCAGTCCTTCCAAATCCCCCAAACTCCCCCTCCATCCTCCCAAACTCCCCTCCATCCTCCCAAACTCCCCTCCATCTCCCAAACTCCCCCTCCATCCTCCCAAACCCCCTTTCCATCTCCCCAAACTCCTCCATCTCCCCAAACTCCCCCTCCATCCTCCCAAACTCCCCCTCCATCCCCCAAACTCCCCTCCATCCCCCAAACTCCCCTCCATCCTCCCAAACTCCCCTCCATCCCCCAAACTCCCCTCCATCTCCCCAAACTCCCCTCCATCCCCCCAAACTCCCCTCCATCCCCCAAACTCCTCTTCCATCTCCCCAAACTCCCCTCCATCCTCCCAAACTCCCCCTCCATCCCCCCAAACTCCCCTCCATCCCCCAAACTCCCCTCCATCCCCCAAACACCCCTCCATCCCCCAAACTCCTCCATCTCCCCAAACTCCCTCCATCCCCCAAACTCCCCTCCATCCTCCCTAAACTCTCCTCCATCCTCCCAAACTCCCCTCCATCCCCCACACCCCCTCCAGTCCCCCATAACCTCCCTCCATCCCCCAAATCCCCCTCCAACCCTCCAAAAACCCCCTCCAGTCCCCCCCAGGTCCCCCCCACCCTTGAGGCAGACGTCGAGGGGCACCCTGGGCAGGGGGGTGTTGATGATGTCGCTCAGATCCACCTCCTTCTCCTCGTAGAAGTACAACTCCCTGCCCCCCCCGCTGGCAAAGCGGAACGGGATGAACTCCTGGGCGTGGAATCCATAGAGGGGCTGGAAAAACGGGAATGGGGGGCTCAGGGGGACCCCAAAACCCCCAGGGAGGGGTTAGGGATGAACTCCTGGGTGTGGAATCCATAGAGGGGCTGGGAAAACGGGAATAGGGGGCTCAGGGGGACCCCAAAACCCCCAGAGAGGGGTTTGGGATGAACTCCTGGGCGTGGAATCCATAGAGGGGCTGGAAAACGGGAATGGGGGAGCTCAGGGGGACCCCAAAACCCCCCCAGAGAGGGCTTTGGGATGAACTCCTGGGCTGGGAAAACGGGAATAGGGGGCTCAGGGGGACCCCAAAGCCCCCCTCAATTTTGGGGGGCTTTCCCTTGGTTTGACAGGAGGCGGTGGGCCTCGATTTTGGGAGGTTTTTTATTTTATTTTGGGGACCTTTAGCTTCAGTTTTGGGAGGGCTTGACCTCGGTTTTGGTGCATTTGACCCGGATTTGGGGCGGGTCCCACCTGGATTCTGGGGGCTTTAACCTGGATCTGGGGGGGGGTTCCCACTGATTTCGGGGGGTCTCTCCTCAATACTGGAGAGGGTTTGATCTCAAGTCTGGGAGGTTCCCTTCAGTTTTGAGAGAGTTTTTACCTCAATTTCGGGCAATTTTCCCCCCAGTTTGGGCGGTTTCGCTCAATTTTGGGAGGTTTTACCTCGAGTTCAGGAGGGTTGTAACCTCAGTTTTGGGAGTCCCCTCGATTTTTGGGGTGTTTTCAGGGTCTAGAGAGGTTTTACCTCCACGTTTTTCAGCTTGAGGGCGAAATCCACGTCCCCCGTGGTGAGCTTGCGGCGCTTCCCCATGTGCATGAACTTGAGGGCGTCCTGGGGGGCACAGACCAGGGGGTCAGGGGGGAAAAAGGGGCTTCAGGGGAGGATCGGGGGGAATTAAGAGGGGAAAATGGAATTTTGGGGGTGCACGGGGTGTTTGGAATTTTCTGAGGGAAAAGGGGGTTCAGAAGGGGGGGAATTCAAGGGGGGGGTCCCCCAATTCTCACCCCCCCCAAACCTGAGGGATTCAAGGGGTTCCCCATCCAACCCCCCAAGGGGGTCTCCCAATCCCCCCTCCCCAAGGGGGTCTCCTCTATTTCCACCCTCAAACCTGAGCGGCCTGAGGGGGATCCCCCCCCATCCCACCCCCCCAAAAAAAATCCTCGTGTCCCCCCCTCACCTGCGCCACCTCCTTGAGGCGGTAACTCGCCTCCTCCGCCAGCAGCTGACACGTCTCCTCGGGGACCCCCGCGACCCCCATGGCCTCCGCCATCACCTTCATGGACTCGGCGGGCAGCAGCGTGTGGCTCAGCTTCAGCTTCTTCTCCTCCGCCATCTCCGCGGCCTTTCCGAGCCCCCGAAGACGCGCGGGAACCCCTCAAGGAGGAGCCGCTGGGACCCCCCAAGAGGATCCGCTGGGACCCCCCAAGAGGAGCCGCTGGGACCCCTCAAAGAGGAGCCGCTGGGACCCCCCGGCCGCCCCTCACGCCGCTCCCGCCGCCGCCATCTTGGAACGCCCCCTCACGGCCGCCGCCATCTTGGCTCCCGCCTCCCGCCGGCGCCGGTCCTGGACGGCGCGGGTTTGGAATGAAACAAAACGGGGATTATCCCCCATTGACAAGCCCGGGAGTTGCGGCGATAATTATTGCCGCGATATGCGAGCGCGATGCGTGGGGGTGAGCGGCGCGGGTTGAGGGTGCGGGAGGTGGGGTGGGGTTGGGGTCTCCATGGACCTGGCAGGACCTGCGCGGGAGGCGGGAAAAGGGGGCGGGGTTTGGGGGAGCGGCGCGTGCAGCGCGGAGGCGCGAGGGGTAGCGGGGAGACCATCGGGGGGCGGGGGTAAATGGGCGGGAACCATTGGGGGGTGGGGGGAGTTGGGGAAAATGGGGGAAGTGGGGAAAATGGGGAGAAAATGGGGGACTATGGGGGAGGAAGGAGGGGAACATTGGGGAGATGAGGGGGTGTGGGGGTTAAGGGGGAACGATTTGGGGGAGTGGGGGAGAACAGGGGGATCGTTGTGGGGGGGGTCAGGGGGAATATTGGGGGTCTCAGGGGGACCTTTGGGGGTCACCTCCCTTTCATTTCATCCCCCATAGGCCGCTGGGATCCTTCACCCAGGACCCCCAAGTCCTCCAGGACCTCCCCTTAGACCTTTCCAAATCCCCCTCAGACCCTTCCTCAACCCCTCCAAACCCCCTGGGACCCCCCAATCCCCTCAAAACCCCCTTGGGGACCCCCAATCCCCCTCAAAACCCCTCTGTGACCCCCCAGTCCCCCTCAAAACCTCCCTTGTGACCCCTCGAATCTCTCTCAAACTCCCATGTGACCTCTCAACCTCCCCTGTGAACCCCCCAATCCCTTTCAGCCCCCTCAAAACCCCCCAAATCCCCCCAAATCCCCCTGTGACCCCCTCAAACGCCCCCTGTGACCCCCAATCCCCTTCAGCCCCCTCCAAACCCCCAAATCCCCCTGTGACCCCTCCCCAATCCCCTTCAGCCCCCTCCAAACTCCCCCCAAATCCCCCTGTGACCCCCCATGTGCCCCCCCTGCCCCCGAGGCCCCCTGATGCCGGGTGGGCACCGCACGGCCCCGCTGGGCTCTCTGGAGGTGCCGGGCAGCCCGTACAGCGTGCGGGTGCTGCGGGTGGGCTACAGCAGCCCCCAGGCCGACGGCTCCGTGCTGGCCGACGGCAGCGTCACCCTGGTGTGGGGCGGCCCCGTCACGGCCCTGGTGGACACGGGGGGGCCCTGGGACCGGGCCCTGCTGCCCGAGCTGCTGCGGGAGCGGGGGCTGAGCCCCCGGGACGTCACCCACGTGGTGGTCACCCACGGCCACTCGGACCACGCCGGCAACCTCAACCTGTTCCCGGGGGCGGCCGAGCTGCTGGTGGGCTTCGACCTGAGCCGGGGGCCGGGGCTGTTCGTGCCGCAGGGGCTGGCGCGGGGGGAGCCGCTGGCCCTGCACGGCCCCCTCCTCGAGGCGCTGCCCACGCCGGGCCACACGCGCGCCCACGCCGCGCTGGCCGTGCGCGGCACCGCCCTGGGCACCGTGCTGGTGGCCGGGGACCTCTTCGAGAGGGAGGGCGACGAGGCCGAGTGGGAGGCCCTGAGCGAGGACCCCCCCCTGCAGCGCCGCAGCCGCCGCGCCGCCCTGGCCGTGGCCGATGTCATCGTGCCCGGGCACGGCCCGCCCTTCAGGGTCCTCAGGGACGAGCAGGGGGACGGGGACGGGGACGGGGACAGCGATGGGGATGGGGACAGGGACAGAGACAGCGACAGGGACAGGGACAGGGACAGGGACAGAAACAGGGACAGGGACAGGAGTAGGGACAGGAACAGACACAGGGACAGAGACGGGGACAGCGACAGCGAGGTCACGGCTGGAGGTGGCGCCGAGGGACGCGGGGACGAGGCCTGAGGAGGTGGGACCTGGTGGGGACACCCAAAGGGACATGGGGACACTCCTGGTGGGAGATGGGACACAGGGACACGGGGACACCCTGGAGATGGCACTGAGGGACGCAGGGATGAGGCCTGAGGAGGTGGGGCCTGGTGGGGACACCCAAAGGGACACAGGGACACCCTGGAGGTGGCACTGAGGGACACGGGGACACCCCGAGGGACACGGGGACAGGGGCAGCCAATGGGACCCCTGGGCTGGGGGGGCGGTGGTTGTGACATCACGGGGGGTTGGTGACACGGGGACAGCCCTGGATGTCCCCTGGGTCGTTCCCCTTCCCCCTGTGGGAGCACAGCCCCTGTGTCACCTCCCAGTTCCCTCCCAGTTCCCCAAATCCCCTCCCAGTTCTCCCAGTCCTTCCCACTCCCCCCAGATCCTCCCACTCCCCCCCAGTCCCCAGTCCCTCCCAGGGTCGTTGTCCCCGGGGGGGTTTATAAAGCCCTCGCTGACTTTGGGGGGGTTTTTCTCAGCCATGGCCCCCTCCCCGTGGCCCTGCCTGGTGGCCCTGGTGGCCCTGGTGGCCCCCCTGGCACGGGGGTGGGACCAGGACTCGCCCACCACCACCCTGTCTGTGGAGAACGGGGGGCCCTGGGGCGAGTGGGGGCCCCCCGAGTTCTGCAACGGGAGGGCTTTGGCCACCGGCTTCCAGCTCAAGGTGGGCTTGGGAGGAGATTTTGGGGGGTTTGGGGGGTTGGAGGACACAGGGGGATTTGGGAAGTCCTGGGGGTCTTGGGGAGCCCTGAGTTTTATCCTCGGGGGCTGGAGGTGTTGGGGTTCAGGGGACACAAAGGGGTTGGGGGGACATGGGAGGGACAGAGGGGGACGGAGGGGATCACAGGGGGTTGAGGGGACATGGGAAGGGGTCGGGGGTCACCCACGGGGGTTTGGGGGACAAACGGGGGTTGGGGGGATAAGGGGGTCATGGGGGCGTGAGGGGGTGACGGGATTTTGGGGTCCTGCAGGTGGAGCCCCAAGGGGTTCCTCAAGGACAACACGGCGCTCAACGGGGTCCGCCTGCTCTGCCAGGGGGAGGGGACATCGCGGCCACCGAGGGGCAGTGAGTGACGGGGGCATGGGGGTGGGGTGGGGACACCCCCATCTACGGCCACCACAACCCACCCGTGGCCACCAGGACCCTTCTGTGGCCAACACGACACATCCATGGCCATTGTGACCCTTCCATGGCCACCATGACCCTTCCATGGCCACCCTGACCCTTCCATGGCCATTGTGACCCATCCATGGCCACCATGACCCTTCCATGGCCACCATGACCCAACCATGGCCATTGTGACCCATCCATACCATCCCAACCCAACCGTGGCCACCCCAACCCAACCATGGCCACCCCAACCCAATCATGGCCAACCCTTCCATGGCCAACCCCACCCAACCAAGGCCACCCCAACCCAACCCAACCCAACCATGGCCACCCCAACCCGACCCATCCATGGCCACCCAACCCAACCATGGCCATTGTGACCCATCCATACCATCCCAACCCAACCATGGCCACCACAACCCAACCATGGCCAACCCACCCCAACCCAACCATGGCCACCCCAACCCTTCCATGGCCACCCCAACCCAACCCAACCCCACCCAACCAAGGCCACCCCAACCCAACCATGGCCACCCCAACCCAACCATGGCCACCCCAACCCAACGTGGCCACCTCAAGGCCCCCAGGGGAGTCTGGAGGGGGGTTCCCCGCGGTGAGCTCCCCCTGACCCCCCCCTTTGCCCCCCCAGCCGTGGGGAGTGGTCCCGGCCCGAGACGTGTCCCCCCGGGCAGCACCTCGTGTCGTTCCGCCTGCGCGTGGAGGCCCCGCGGGGGCTCTGGGACGACACGGCCGCCAACGCCGTGGCCGCCATCTGCTCGGGGGGCACCCTGCTGGAGGGCAGGGGCGGCCCCCGCGGCTCCTGGGGCAACTGGAGCCTCCCCTGCCCCGCCCGGACCGGGGTCTGCGGGCTCAGGACCCGCGTGGAGCCCCCCCAGGGCGTGGCCGACGACACCGCGCTCAACGACCTCGAGCTCTACTGCTGCCAGTGAGGGGGGGGGACACCCCCTGGAGCCCCCTGGGACCACCCCAGATCCCGGGAACCCCCTGGACACCCTCCAGACCCCCTGGAGCCTCCCTGGGACCACCCCAGATCCTGGAAACCCCCCCTGGAGCCCCTGGGACCACCCCAGATCCTGGAACCCCTCTGGACACCCCCCAGACCCCCTGGAGCCCCCTGAGACCACCCCAGATCCTGGGAACCCCCTGGAGCCCCCTGAGACCACCCCAGATCCTGGAAGCCCCCTGAGCCCCCTGGGACCACCCCAGATCCTGGGAACCCCCTGGACCCCTCAGAACCCCCTGAGACCACCCCCAGATCCTGGAACCCCCTGGACACCCCCCAGACCCCTGGAGCCCCCTGAGACCACCCCAGATCCTGGAAACCCCCCTGGAGCCCCCTGAGACCACCCCTGATCTTGGGAAACCCCCTGGACCCCTCAGAGATTCCTGGAACCCTCTGAGACCACCCCAGATCCTGGAACCCCCTGGACACCCCCAGACCCCCTGGAAGCCCCTGAGAGCACCCCTCGATCTTGGGAAACCCCGGATTCCTGGAACCCCCTGGGACCACCCCAACTCCTGGGAAACCCCCTGGACCCCTCAGACCCCCCTGAGATCACCCCAGATCCTGGAACCCCCTGGACACCCCTGGGACCCCCACCCCCACCCCAGGACCCCTCCAGACCCCTGGAAGCTCCCTTGGGACCACCCCCGATCCCCAGACCCCCTCTGGGACCCCCTGGACCCCCGGGACCCCTCAGATTCTGGGGACCCCCAGGACTTCTGGGACCCCCATGGACCCCCTGATGTCCCCCCACCCCCTCTGACCCCCCCTCCTCAGTGTCCCCCAACCACCCCTGGGGACCCCCAAACTCCCCCTCCCCCAAAAGGGTCCCCAAATCCCCTCCCCCGCGGTGCCCCCCAATGTCCCCCTCCCCAATAAACTGGAGGGGACCCCTGCCGAGTCCTCGTTTTTGGGGGTTTGGGAGTCCCCTGACCCTGCAGGGCGAGGGGGAGGAGGGGCAGGGCTTGGGTGACACCGGGGTGGGGAGGGGCGTGCCCCGACCTTTGACCCCCCAGGCCGGACTTTGGACCCCCAAAATAAATGATTAACCGGGGGAGGGGCAGGGCCGGGCCTGGGCCAGCGCTGGGTGAGTCTGGGGGTTTGGGGGAGGTTTGGGGGCTTGAGGGGTTTGGGGGCTTGGGGGAGTTTGGGGGGTTGGAGGATTTGAGGGATTTTTGGGGTCCTCAGGCTCTTTTTGGGGGCAGAAGGGGTGGAATTTGGGGACTCCTGGGGGATTTTGGGGAGCGTTTGGGGCTCCCCAAGATTTGGGGGGGATTTTGAGGTCCTGCCCATCCCCCTCCTCTTTTGCAGCCCCTCCCCCGCCAGGATGGAGCAGGTAAAGGGGGAGGGGAAGGGGGATCCTCCAATCTCCCAACCCCCCTTGTCTGACCTCGCCCTCCCCCCACAGCCCCCGGGCCTGCCCGAGCCCCAAAACCGCCCTGAGCCCCCAAAGAGCCCGCGGCCCCGGGGTGAGAGGGGGACACTGGGACGGACTGGGGGCACTGGGAGGGGCTGGAGGGAACTGGGAGGGGATGGAGGGGCATTGGGAGGGGAATTGGAGGGCACTGGGAGGGACTGGAGGGGATGGGGGGACTGGGAGGGACTGGCTGGGGACTAAGAGGGGATGTAGGGGCACTGGGAGTTACTGGGGCTTACTGGGAGGGCACTGGGAATTACTGGGAGGGCACTGGGAGTTACTGGGGGGTGCTGGGAGGGCTCTGTGGGTTACTGGGGGTTACTGGGAGGGCACTGTGGGTTACTGGGGATTACTGGGAGGGCACTGGGGGTTACTGGGGGCACTGGGGGCATTGTGCGTTACTGGGGTTACTGGGAGTTACTGGGTGTTACTGGGAGAGCACTGGGGGTTACTGGGAGTTACTGGGAGGGCACTGGGGGTTACTGGGAGGGCACTGGGGTTACTGGGGTTTACTGGGAGGGCTCTGGACGTTACTGGGGGCGCTGGGGGTGAGTGACGCCCCGGCCCCTCCCCGTGTTTCCGCATGTGCTGCCCCTCGGGGAGGCGGCGGCTCCTGGAGGAGCTCCGGGACCGCCCCCTCCGGCCCACGCGCCGCTCCCCCTTCACCACCGTCTTCAGGGGCCCCCCGTGAGTTGGGGGCACGGGGGGAGGGCAGGGGGCACAGGGGGTCAAGGGGGCACTGGGGGGCACTGGAGGCATTTTTGTGGGGGCAGGGGGGCATTGGGGGCATTGGGGGTCAGGGGTCAGTGGGGGTCACCGGGGGTCAAAGGTCACCCTGGGCAGGCTCCTCCCTCACTGACCCCTCCCCCTCCCCCTCCCCAGAGCCACCACCGGGGCTGAAGTTTCAGGGTCCCCAGGGGGACCTGGAGGCTCAGGACCTCCAACCCCCACGAGACCACCCGGCGGGGGCGGGGCAATGAAGGGCTCTGATTGACAGCTCCGGCCGCGCCCCCTTCGACCGGGATCAGAGCGGTCCACACAGATTTAAAATGGAGGTTTTGCTGGTTTAAGTGTGTTTTTACTGGTTTGGGTTGGTTTATACTGGTTTAAATCGGTTTATACTGGTTTAAACTGGTACCGTAAAGCGCGCAGGTGGATGCGGAGGTGCCACGCTGCCGTAAAGCGCGGAGGGGAGTGGAGGCGCCGCACTGCCGTAAAGCGGCGCTGACGGACGGGGCGCTGAGCCAATGGGAGCGCGGGGCGGGCCGGGGGGCGGGGCCAAGGGGGTCACGTGTGGGTGCGGTCACGTGGCCGGAAGGGAACGGGAGCCCGCGATGGTGAGAGCCGGACTGGGAGGGACTGGGAGGGTCACTGGGGGTTATTGGGCAGCACTGGGGGTCACTGGGCAGCACTGGGAGGTTACTGGGACATCGCTGGTTCATGGTGGTCTGTACTGGTTTATGCTGGTCCGTACTGGTCCATACTGGTCCGCGCTGGTTTCAGACGTCGGCGCTGACGCAGGGCCTGGAGCGGGTCCCGGCCCAGGCCGGGTATCTCGTCATCAGCGACGGCGCCGTCCTGGCTGTGAGGGGGGCCCCAAATTTGGGGGATCCCCAAAACCTGGGGATGGGGGGGCGAAATTTGGGGGTCCCCAAAACTGGGGGGCCGAAACTGGGAGGGGGTCCCCAAAATGGGGGTGGTCTGGGGGCGGTCCTGGGGTCCCCAAAATTGGGGAGGTTGGGGTGTGTCTGGGGGTCCCCAAAACACTGGGGAGGGTCCCCAAAATTGGGGGAGGGTCCTGGGATGGGGGGAGGGTGTCCTGGGTTTGGGGGAGAGAGGGGGCTGGGAAGGGCAGGGGAGTCCCCAAAATGGGGGTCCCAAAACTGGGGGGGTCCCAAAATTGGGAGGGTGGAGGGCAGGGCCCAGATTCGGGGGTTGGTTCGAGAGGTCCCTGGTTTGGGGGTTGGAGGGGGTGGTGTCTTCCCACGCCTTTGGGGCCACCCCCAAAGTGTCCCCCAAAGTGTCCCCAAAGTGTCCCCTGCCCCCCAAAGTGTCCCCTGCCCCCCAAAGTGTCCCCAAAGTGTCCCTGCCCCCCCAAAGTGTCCCCAAAGTGTCCCCTGTCCCGCAGTCGTCGGGGGACCTGGAGAACGACGAGCGCACGGCCACCGTCCTGCAGGGCCTGGTGGCCACCGCGCTGGGGCTGCGCCTGCCCCGCGGCCACCACCCCCCCTTCCGCCGCCTCTCGGGTCAGTGCCACCTCCTGGGGTCACCTGGGGTCACCAGGGTCACCTGGGTCACCCCCCTGGGGTCACCACCCCCCCTTCCGCCGCCTCTCGGGTCAGTGACACCCCCAGGGTCACCAGGGTCACCCCCCTGGGGTCACCAGGGTCACCACCCCCCCTTCCGCCGCCTCTCGGGTCAGTGACACCCCCTGGGGTCACCACAGGGTCACCATGGGGTCACCTGGGTCACCACCCCCCCTTCCGCCGCCTCTCGGGTCAGTCACACCCCCAGGGTCACCATGGGGTCACCACAGGGTCACCTGGGGTCACCACAGGGTCACCAGGGTCACCACCCCCCCTTCTGCCGCCTCTCGGGTCAGTCACACCCCCTGGGGTCACCTGGGGTCACCACAGGGTCACCTGGGTCACCCCCCTGGGGTCACCACCCCCCCTTCCGCCGCCTCTCGGGTCAGTGACATCACCTGGGGTCACCTGGGGTCACCATGGGGTCATCAAGAATCCCCAGAGGTCACCAAAGGGGTCACCAGAGTGGCACCAAAGTGGCTCCAGGGTCTCCCAAACTGATGGGGGTGGGGGGGTTAGGGGGGGTGGCACTGTCCCCAATGTCCCCCCAGTGGTGTTTGGGGAGCTGGGGGTGTCCCTGGGGGTGTCCCTGGGGGTGTCCCCAATGTCCCCCCTGTCCCCCCGGTGGTGTTTGGGGAGTGGGGGTGTCCCTGGGGGTGTCCCTGGGGGTGTCCCTGGGGGTGTCCCCATTGTCCCCACTGTCCCCCCAGTGGGGTGTGGGGAGCTGGGGGTGTCCCTGGGGGTGTCCCTGGGGTGTCCCTGTTGTCCCCAATGTCCCCCCTGTCCCCCCAGTGGTGTTTGGGGAGTGGGGTGTCCCTGGGGGTGTCCCCAATGTCCCCCCTGTCCCCCCAGTGGTGTTTGGGGAGTGGGGGTGTCCTGGGTGTCCTGTCCCCTGTCCCCCCAGTGGTGTTCGGGGAGCACTCCCTGCTCGTCACGGTGTCAGGACAGAAACTCTTCGTCGTCAAACGCCACAACCACGTCCAGGACCCCGTGGCCGTCTGACAGCTGTCCCCAATGTCCCCAACAACTGTCCCCAATGTCCCCAACAACTGTCCCCAATGTCCCCAACAACTGTCCCAGCTGTCCCCAATGTCCCCAACAACTGTCCCCAATGTCCCCTGCTGTCCCAGCTGTCCCCAATGTCCCCAACAACTGTCCCCAATGTCCCCTGCTGTCCTCACCTGTCCTCACCTGTCCCCAGGGGTGGTGGCACCTCCCCTCCGTGTCCCAAGGTGTCCCCAAGGCCACCCAGGGGGATTTTGGGGCCACCCCCCCCCCCAGTGTCACTCTGGAGGCAATAAAGGGTGTCCTGGAGTGTCACTTGTGTCACTTGTCACCTCTGGGGGGGGCAGGTGGGACACAGGAGTCCCTGGGGAGGTGACAAAGCCCTTTGGGGGGGTCCCCACACCCGGTGACACCCCAGGACCCCCCAAGTGACCCCCCCTGGTGACATCCAGAGCTTTATTAGACAATAAATAACAGTGACAGAGGGGCCACCCCTGTCCCTTGTCCCCAGCACGGGGGTGGCACTGCAGGACATCCCCTCCCCCCCCCCACAAAGGCCACCTCCCGATGTCCCCAAACGTCCCCAAAGTCTCCCCCACCCCCCCCAGTGCAGGCACAGCGCTGGGACCTGCCACAGGCTGCGTCCCCAACGTGTCCCCAGGCTCGGGGACGACACCCCCAGCGTCCCCCAGTGTCCCCAGGCTCGGGGATGTCCCCAGTGTCCCCTCCCTTGGCACCTCGAGCCCCCCAGGGGGTCCCCGGCTGAGTTTGGGGACCCAGCAGGGCGGGGGGTGGTGGCACATCCACGGTGTCCTCGGTGTCCCTGCTGTCCCCTCGTGTCCCCTGCTGTCCCCCCTGTCCCCGTGTCACTGCACAGGCGCCACCACCAGCACTTTGCACTCCCTCTTGGCGATCTTGTCGAGGGCCAGCACGGATTTGTCGGGGGGCAGGTACAGGGGGCGGCCCACGGGGGACCCCACGGGGGGGGTGATGGCCCTGCGCTCCATCACGCTGCCAGACCTGGGGACAGCAGGGACACTGTCACCTGGGGGAGCCCACAGTGTCCCCTCAGTGTCCCCAGAGTGTCCCCAGAGTGTCCCCATGTCCCCCCAGTCCCCCCAGGGGGTGATGGCCCTGCGCTCCATCACGCTGCCAGACCTGGGGACAGCAGGGACACTGTCACCTGGGGGTGCCATTGTCACCTGGGGGTGCCACTGTCACCTGGGGGAGCCCACAGTGTCCCCACAGTGTCCCCACAGTGTCCCCAACGTCCCCCCAGGGGGTGATGGCCCTGCGCTCCATCACGCTGCCACACCTGGGGACAGCAGGGACACTGTCACCTGGGGGAGCCACTGTCACCTGGGGGTGCCCAGAGTGTTCCCAGTACCCTTAATGTCCCCCCCAGTGCCCTCCCAGTATCCCCAGAGCCCTCCCAGTATCTCCCAGTGCTCCCAGTGTCCCTCCCAGTGTCCCCCCAATACCAGATGAGGTGGCTGCTGGTGGGAGAAGGACTGGGACCGTCCCAGTCCCGCCACCAATTCCCTCCCAGTGCTCCCAGTGCCCTCCCAGTGTCCCTCCCAGTGCCCCCAGTGCTCCCAGTGCCCCCAGTACCGGATGAGGTGGCTGCTGGAGGGCTGCTGGTGGGAGAAGGACTGGGAGCGCCCCAGCCCCGCCACCAATTCCCTCCCAGTGCTCCCAGTGTCCCTCCCAGAGCCCTCCCAGTGCTCCCAGTGCCCCTATTGCCCTCCCAGTGCTCCCAGTGCCCCCAGTACCGGATGAGGTGGCTGCGGGAGGGCTGCTGGTGGGAGAAGGACTGGGACCGTCCCAGTCCCGCCACCAATTCCCTCCCAGTGCCTCCCAGTGCTCCCAGTGCCCTCCAGTGCTAGCACTGGATGAGGTGGCTGCGGGAGGCTGCTGAGGAGAAGGACTGAGGATCTGCCCCAGTCCGCCACCATTCCCCTGCTCGGCCGGGAGCTGGGGGCTGCTCTTGCGGGACACGGGCCGGGCCTCGGGCGGGGGATGGGCCAGGCTGGCCGTGAACTGGAGCTTCAGCTTCATGTGCTGGGACAGCTGGGGGGACACCGGGGCATCAGGGGCACTGGGGATCACTGGGAGGGGACTGGGGATACTGGGAACACGGCGGGGGGGGGGCAGTGTGGGGACACTTTGGGGCTGTTGTCACCTCAAAGAGCCCCTCTTGGAGTGCCTGGAATGGGGAAACTGGGACTGGGATGGGGACACCGGGACTGGGATGGGGACACTGGGACTGGGATGGGGACACCGGGACTGGGATGGGGGCACGGGGACTGGGATGGGGACACTGGGACTGGGATGGGGACACTGGGACTGGGATGGGGACACCGGGACTGGGATGGGGGCACTGGGGTTGGGATGGGGGCACTGGAATGGGGACACTGGGACTGGGATGGGGGCACTGGGATGGGGACATTGGGATGGGGACACCAGGACTGGGATAGGGACACTGGAATGGGGACACTGGGACTGGGATGGGGGCACCAGGGCTGGGATGGGGACACTGGGACTGGGATGGGGACACTGGCATGGGGACACTGGGACTGGGATGGGGACACCGGGACTGGAATGGGGACACTGGGACTGGGATGGGGACACCGGGACTGGAATGGGGACACCAGGACTGGAATGGGGACACTGGGACTGGGATGGGGCACCAGGGCTGGGATGGGGACACTGGGACTGGGATGGGGACACTGGGGCTGGGATGGGGACACTGGGACTGGGATGGGGCACCAGGGCTGGGATGGGGACACTGGGGTTGGGATAGGGACACTGGGACTGGGATGGGGACACTGGGATGGGGACACCGGGACTGGGATGGGGGCACTGGGAGGACACTGGGGGGCCATTTGGGGCCATTTGGGGCCGTTGTCACCTCGAAGAGCCCCTCCCGGAGCGCCTGGAAGGCCACACGGATGGTCCTGGCGCTGCCCTTGCGGGAATAGCCCAGGTTGGTGAGGGGGGTGTGGCACACGATGGAGTCCAGGGAGCCCGGCGTGGAGGGAGCCTTGCCTGGGAATGGGAATGGGATTGGGATCAGGGACATGGGAATGGGATCAGGGAGATGGGAATGGGATCAGGGAGATGGGATTGGGATCAGGGAGATGGGATTGGGATCAGGGACATGGGAATGGGATCCCTGTCCCATCCCCGGGTGTGGCACACGATGGAGTCCAGGGAACCTGGTGTGGAGGGAGCCTTGCCTGGGAATGGGGGAACAAATCAATGTGGGAGTGGATCAGGGAGATGGGAATGGGATCCCTGTCCCCTGTCCCCGGGTGTGGCATACGATGGAGTCCAGGGAGCTTGCTGTGGATGGAGCCTTGCCTGGGAATGGGATTGGGATCAGGGACGTGGGAATGGGATCAGGGAGAAGGGAATGGGATGATGGTAACGGGATGACAGGAATGGGATCCCTCCCGTGTCCCCTCCCTGTCCCCAGTGTGCCCTCTCCACCCCCATCCCCAATGTCCTCAATGTCCCCCATGACCCCAACACCCCCCTGGCGTCCCCAATGTCCCCGGTGTCCCCTCACCCCCGGTGTCCCCTCATCCCCGGTGTCCCCTCAGCCCCCAATGTCCCCTCAGCCCCCGGTGTCCCTCAGCCCCCAATGTCCCCTCAGCCCCCTGGTGTCCTCTCATCCCCCGGTGTCCCAACACCCCAGTGTCCCCTCAGCTCCGGTGTCCCCTCAGCCCCCAATGTCCCCTCACCCCGGTGTCCCTCAGCCCCCTGGTGTCCCTCAGCCCCGGTGTCCCCTCACCCCCCCGGTGTCCCCACCGGCCGTGGCCGTCTCGGGGGTCCAGACGAGGCGCACGGCCAGGAAGTCCTGCAGGTCGTTGAGCAGGGTGTAGGTGACCGTGAAGCGACGCCGCGCCGGCACCGGCGACTCCACCGTGGCCGTCATCACGAAGCGAGGCCGCTCCAGGCGGATGCTCGGCAGCCTGGGGGACAGGGGGATGATGTGGGGACAGCCTGGGGGACAGGGGGATGACGTGAGGACAGCCTGGGGGACAGGGGGACGTCACAGGGACAGCCTGGAGGACAGGGGGACATCATGGGGACAGCCTGGGGGACAGGGGGATGTCACAGGGACAGCCTGGGGGACAGGGGGATGTCACAGGGACAGCCTGGGGGACAGGGGGATGATGTGGGGACAGCCTGGGGGACAGGGGGATGTCACAGGGACAGCCTGGGGGACAGAGGGATGTCATAGGGACAGGCTGGGGGGACAGGGGGACGTCACAGGGACAGCCTGGGGACAGGGGACAGTAGGAACATCACAGGGACAGCCTGTGGGGACAGGGGATGGCGTGAGGGACAGCCTGAGGGACAGGGGGACATCATGGGGACAGCCTGGGGGACAGGGGGACATCACAGGGACAGCCTGGGGGACAGGGGGATGACGTGGGGACAGCCTGGGGGACAGGGGGACATCACAGGGACAGCCTGGGGGACAGGGGGATGACGTGGGGACAGCCTGGGGGACAGGGGGACATCACAGGGACAGCCTGGGGGACAGGGGGACGTCACAGGGACAGCCTGGGGGACAGGGGGATGATCGTAGGGACAGCCTGGGGGACAGGGGGACGTCACAGGGACAGCCTGGGGGACAGGGGACATCGGGACATCACAGGGACAGCCTGGGGGACAGGGGGACGTCACAGGGACAGCCTGGGGGACAGGGGGACATCACAGGGACAGCCTGGGGGACAGGGGACATCACAGTCACAGGGACAGCCTGGGGGACAGGGGGACGTCACAGGGACAGCCTGGGGGACAGGGGACATCACAGGGACAGCCTGGGGGACAGGGGGATGTCATAGGGACAGCCTGGGGGACAGGGGGACATCACAGGGACAGCCTGGGGGACAGGGGGACGTCACAGGGACAGCGGGGGGACATCGTGGTGGCACCACTGGGGAGGCCCAGGGGAGCTGCACAGAGCCCCGAGCGGGTGGTGACGCGGGGACAGCGATGGGACAACGATGGGACAGAGGTGTGGTGGCAGCCAGGAGGGTCTGGGGGTGTTGGGGACGTTCTGGGGACGTTCTGGGGACATTCTGGGGGCGTTTTGGGGACATTCTGGGGACATTCTGGGGATGTTTTGGGGACGTTCTGGGGACGCTCACCGGTAGTGGGTGTAGATGCTGCTGGTGAAGGGCAGCTTGGGGGTCGACCACTGCACCACGGCCACCAGCGGCACCTCCAGGCCCTGCAGGAGGGCACAGGTGGCACCCCCTGTGTCCCCAAGCCCCCGTGTCCCCAAGCCCCCTGGTGTCCCCAAGCTCCCCCATGTCCCCAAGACCCCCTGTGTCCCCAAACCCCCTGTGTCCCCACCTCCGGTGTCCCCAAGCCCCCATGTCCCAAACCCCCTGTGTCCCCAAGCCCCCAGTGTCCCCAAACCCCCATGTCCCCAAGCCCCTGGTGTCCCCAAGCCCCGTGTCCCAAACCCCCTGGTGTCCAAGCCCCCGTGTCCCTCACCTCCTTGGCGTCCTCGGGGGGCCTCTCTGGGGCCTGGAGCTGGAAGAGGAAGTTCTGCTCCTCCAGGGCACTGAGGGCACAGGGACAGCCCGAGCCCGCCCCGGCCACGCGGCAGAACGCGCCCACCGGCACCTCCCCCGAGTGGTGGCTGTGGGGACACCTCGGGGTCACCTCGGGGTCACCTCAGGGTCACCTCAGGGTCACCTCGGGGTCACCAGGGTCACCTCGGGGTCACCTCAGGGTCACCACCCTGTCCCCAACGCGCCCACCGGCACCTCCCCTGAGTGCTGGCTGTGGGGACACCTTGGGGTCACCTCGGGGTCACCTCAGGGTCACCTCGGGGTCACCTCAGGGTCACCACCCTGTCCCCAATGCACCCACCAGCACCTCCCCTGAGTGCTGGCTGTGGGGACACCTCGGGGTCACCTCAGGGTCACCTCAGGGTCACCTCGGGGTCACCTCGGGGTCACCTCGGGGTCACCACCCTGTCCCCAACGCGCCCACCGGCACCTCCCCTGAGTGGTGGCTGTGTGGACACGGCAGGGACACCTCAGGGACACCCTGGGGACACCCCAAGGCCCCCACACTGTCCCCAGGTGTCCCCAGGTGTCCCCCAGTGTCCCCAGGTGTCCCCAGGTGTCCCCTGCCACCCCCGGTGTCCCCAGGTGTCCCCCGGTGGTGTCCCCAGGTGTCCCCTGCCACCCCCGGTGTCCCCAGGTGTCCCCTGCCACCCCTGGGGTCCCCTGCCACCCCCGGTGTCCCCAGGTGTCCCCTGCCACCCCCGGTGTCCCCAGGTGTCCCCAGGTGTCCCCTGCCACCCCCAGTGTCCCCAGGTGTCCCCTGCCACCCCCGGTGTCCCCTCACCAGACGTCGTCGACGAGCAGGACGGAGCCGTCGGGCATGACGGGCAGGTAACTGGCGTTGAAATTGGGCAGGATCTGCACATCCCACAGGGAGATCTCCTCCTGGGAGCACCCGTTCAGCACTGGGGACAGGGGACATTGGGGACAGGGGGACATTGGGGACAGGATCTGCACATCCCACAGGGAGATCTCCTCCTGGGAGCACCCGTTCAGCACTGGGGACAGTGGGGACATCAGGGGGATTGGGGACATTGGGGACAGGGGACAGTGGGGACAGGGGTACATTGGGGACAGGGGGACATTGGGGACAGTGGGGACATTGGGGACAGGGGGGACATTGTGGACATTGGGGACAGGATCTGCACATCCCACAGGGAGATCTCCTCCTGGGAGCACCCGTTCAGCACTGGGGACAGGGGAGGGATTGGGGACAGTGGGGACATGGGGACATTGGGGACATTTGGGCGGGACTGGGGACACTGGGGATGTTGGGAATGTTCTCCCCATGCCCCCCTGTCCCTCCCCTTGTCCCCACATGTCCCCAAACGTCCCCAAAGACGCCCCCTCATCACCTTTGAGCACCGCCACGTTCTCCCCAACACCATCACTTACTGACACCTCACCCCCTCCATATCCCCAATGTCCCCCCCATCCCTCCCACCCCCTCCTGTCCCCAAACGTCCCCCAATGTCCCCCAGTGTCCCTCAATGTCCCCCAGCGTCCCTCACCTTTGAGCACCGTCAGGTACTTGCCCGACACCGTCACCTGCCGGCACCTGACGAGGGGCGGGGGCAGCACCGTCAGCATCGTGCTCACTGTGGGGACAGCAGGGACAGCTGGGGACAACCGAGACAGCAGGGACAACCCTGGGGACAGCTGGGACAACCCTGGGGACACCACTGGGGACAACCCTAGGGACAGCTGGGACAACCCTGGGGACAGCAGGGACAGCTGGGACAGCCCTGGGGACAGACTGGGGACAGCAGGGACAGCTGGGGACACCCCTGGGGACAGCAGGGACAGCTGGGACACCTGGGGACAGCAGGGACACCCCTGGGGACAGCCCTGGGGACAGCAGGGACAGCTGGGGACAGCCTGGGGACAGCCCTGGGGACACCCCTGGGGACAGCCCTGGGGACAGCTGGGACAGCTGGGACACCCCTGGGGACACCCCTGGGGACAGCAGGGACAACCCTGGGGACACCCCTGGGGACAGCAGGGACAGCTGGGACACCCCTGGGGACACCCCTGGGGACAGCTGGGACACCCCTGGGGACAGCACGGACAGCTGGGACACCCCTGGGGACAGCCTGGGGACACCCCTGGGGACACCCCTGGGGACAGCCCTGGGGACAGGAGGGACAGCTGGGGACAGCCTGGGGACAGCCCTGGGGACAGCCTGGGGACAGCCTGGGGACAGCAGGGACACCTCAGGGACACCCGGGGACACCCCGGGGCTGGTTTGGGGGGAGGGGACATTCGAGGGGGGACATTTCAGGGGAGGGGACACTCAGGGGAGGGGACATTCGGGGGAGGGGACATTCAGGGGAGGGACACTCGGGGGGAGGGGACACTCGGGGGGGAGGGGACAGGTGCCCACCCTGCGCCTTGAAGGCCCCGCGGTGCTGCCGGAACACCTGGGCGGGGGCGCGGCCCTGGAGCAGCCCCAGGTAACCCCCCCCCTCCTGCAGCTCCGGCGGCTCCGCGTCCCTCTGCCACACTGTCACCACGATCTGGGGACAAGGGACATGCCAGGGGACATCTGAGAGCCCAGGAACCCCCCCTGTCCCTCTGCCACACTGTCACCACGATCTGGGGACAAGGGACATGATCTGAGACCCCAGGAACCCCCTGTCCCTCTGCCACACTGTCACCACGATCTGGGGACAAGGGACATGCCAGGGGACATCTGAGAGCCCAGGAACCCCCCCCGTCCCTCTGCCACACTGTCACCACGATCTGGGGACAAGGGACACCATCTGAGACCCCAGGGCACCCCCTGTCCCTCTGCCACACTGTCACCACCATCTGGGGACAAGGGACACGCCGGGGGACGTGGGGACACCTCAGGGGACAACTGCCAGTGTCCCCGAGGTCCCCACAGTGTCCCCAAGGTCTCCTCACTGTCCCCAAGTTCTTCTCATTGTCCTCAAATTCCCCACAGTGTCCCCAAGATCGTCCCGCTGTCCCCACAGTGTCCCCACAGTGTCCCCCAGCGGTAGCTGTCCCCATCCCCTGTCCCCATCCCTGTCCCCTGTCCCCATCCCTGTCCCCATCCCCTGTCCCCATCCCCTGTCCCCATCCCCTGTCCCTATCCCCATCCCTGTCCCCATCCCATCCCCCATCCCCATCCCCTGTCCCCATCCCTGTCCCCTGTCCCCATCCCTGTCCCCTGTCCCCATCCCTGTCCCCATCCCTGTCCCCATCCTTGTCCCCATCCCTGTCCCCATCCCTGTCCCCGTCCCCATCCCTGTCCCCATCCCTGTCCCCATCCCTGTCCCCATTCCCTGTCCCCATCCCTGTCCCCATCCCATCCCTGTCCCCATCCCATCCCTGTCCCCATCCCTGTCCCTCCCCATCCCTGTTCCCAGAGCACCTTGGCTTTGCCGGTTCCGGGCGGGAGCTGATCCAGGGAAACGGTGAGCGGGAAAATCACCTCGTCCGTGGCCACGATGGGATCCTCCACCGGCATCTGGGGACGGAAAACCGGGATCCAGCCCGGCATTCCCGGCATTCCCAACATTCCCAGTGTCCCCACTGCCACCTCTGGCACCCGGGGAGCCCCAGCTTTTCCAGCAGGAGCATCCGGAATTCCCGGAAAAACGGCGGCCCCAACACCTCCCCATTCCCACCTGCATCCCAATCCCAACATTCCCCACATTCCCAACGTTCCCAGTATCTCCTCTATCACCCACCCCGGGGATCCCAAATTTTTCATCAGGAACTCTGGGAATTCCCAGGGAACCTTCAGCTCTGGACTGTCCCCATCCCCATTCCCATCCCCATCCCAATCCTGACATTCCCAACGCTCCTTTTCTCACCCATCCCAGCCCTGGGACACCCCAGGGATCCCAGATTTTTCATCTGGGAATTCCCAGGGAACCTTCAGCTCTGGACTGTCCCCATCCCCATTCCCATCCCCATCCCAATCCTGACATTCCTAACTCTCCTTTTCTCGTCCATCCCAGCCCCGGGACACCCCGGGGATCCCAGATTTTTCATGGGAATTCCCAGGGAATTTCAGCTCTGGACTCTCCCCGTTCCCATCCCATTCCCCCATTCCCCCGTTCCCCCCGTCCATCACCCACCCCGGCTCCGGGACAGCCGGGGGGTCCCTTGCTGTGGGTCAGGAGTGCTCGGCATTCCCGGAAAACCGCAGGCTCCGCGTCCTCCCCGTCCCCGTGCCCGTCCCGGGGCACCCCCGCGGGGTCCCCCCCGGGCGCCACCGTGGCCAGCGCGGCCAGGGAGGAGGCCAGCTGGGCCCAGGGGGGGCGGGGGGGGCTGTTCCCGGCGGTGTTCCCGGCATTCCCGGCGGTGTTCCCGGTGGGATTCCCGGCGGGATTCCCGGCAGGATTCCCGGGGCGGCAGCGCAGCACGAGCAGGAAGCGCACGGTCTCGCCCAGGTAGAGGTGGTTCCGCCGGGGCAGGGCCCGGTAACCCCCCCCGGGCCCCGATCCCGCCAGGAGCTCCCGCGGAGGGAACGGCACGGCCGGGAAATACATGGAATAGTCACACTGAGACTCCATGGGAGCGGGAAACGGGGACGGGAACGGGGAATGGGAACCCGGAATGGGAACCGGGAATGGGAACAGGGAACAGGAATGGGAACAGGAATGGGAACCGGGAATGGGAACGGGAATGGGAACAGGAATGGGAATGGGAACAGGAATGGGAATGGGAACAGGAATGGGAACTGGGAATGGGAACAGGGAATGGGGAATGGGAACAGGAATGGGAATGGGGAATGGGAACCGGGAATGGGAACAGGGAATGGGAACCCGGAATGGGAACAGGGAATGGGAACAGGGAATGGGAACCGGGAATGGGGAATGGGAACAGGGAATGGGAACCCGGAATGGGAACCGGGAATGGGAATGGGAACTAGGAATGGGAACAGGGAATGGGAACCCGGAATGGGAACTGGGAATGGGAACTGGAATGGGAACAGGAATGGGAACGGGAACAGGGAACAGAAACTGGAACCAGGAATGGGAACCAGGAACAGGGAATGGGAACAGGAATGGGAACAGGAACACGGAAGGGGAACTGGGAATGGGAACTGGGAACACGAAACAGGAACTGGGAATGGGAACGGGAAGGGAATCAAGGGGGGAGGAGGAGGAGGGACCCACAGGGATTCCCGCCAGGAACGTCAGGAATTCCACAGGGTTAAAGCTGGGAGGAGTTCTGGGAATTCCTTGGGAATGGGTGTGTGTAGGGTGTTTAATCCCAGAGGGAATTGCAGGGGAATTCCAGGGGGGTCGATCCCGGCCTTTGTCCCAGCGGGAAGTTTTGGGAATTCCAGGGGTCAGTCCCAGGGGGAAATCCTGGGAATTCCGAGAGGATGGAGGGAATACTGGGAGGTCAGTCCCGGTGGGAATGTTGGGAGTCCTGGACGGATAATGAGGGATTAATCCCAGGAATGCTGGCTGGGAATGGGGGTGGATGCCAGGAATTCCAGGGGGAGGATCCCAGGGACACTGAGGGGTCAATCCCGGTGGGAATCTTGGGAATTCCAGGGGAAAAGCAGGGGAGC